AGCCATCAGGGAGATTCAAATTAAAACCACATTGAGATACCACCTTATACCACTTAGAATGGCCCAAATTAGCAAGACAGGAAACAACATGTGTTGGAGGGGATGTGGAGAAAGGGGAACCCTCTTACACTGTTGGTGGGAATGCAAGTTGGTACAGCCTCTTTGGAGAACAGTGTGGAGATTCCTCAAGAAATTAAAAATAGAACTTCCCTATGACCCTGCAATTGCACTCCTGGGTATTTACCCCAAAGATACAGATGTAGTGAAAAGAAGGGCCATCTGTACCCCAATGTTTATAGAAGCAATGGCCACAGTTGCCAAACTGTGGAAAGAACCAAGATGCCCTTCAACGGATGAATGGATAAGGAAGATGTGGTCCATATACACTATGGAGTATTATGCCTCCATCAGAAAGGCATATAATTTTTTATCATATTCTCTTATGATTGTATTTCTGTGGTGTTGCTTGTGATCTCTCTATCATTTGTGATTTTATTCATTTGGGCCCTTTCTCTTTTCTTTTTGATAAGTCTGACTAGGGGTTTGTCAGTGTTACTAATTCTTCCAAAGAACCAGCTCGTAGTTTCATCAATCTGTTTTACTGGGCTTTTTTTGTTTGTTTGTTTTTGTTTTTGTTTTTGTTTTAAAGATTTCATTTATTTATTTGATGGAGAGAGAGAGCGAGCAAGTACAAGCAGGGGAGCAGCAAAGGGGGAGGAAGAAGCAGGCTCTCCACTGAGCAGTGAGCCCAATGCGGGCCTCAGTCCCAGGACCATGGGATCATGACCTGAGCCAAAGGCAGACACTTAACCAACTGAGCCTCTCAGGTGCCCATTATTTTTGTTTCTATATAATTTATTTCTGCTCTAATCTTTATTATTTCCCTTCTTCTGCTGGATTTAGGCTTTATTTTTCTAGTCCCTTTGGATGTAAAGTTAGGTTCTGTATTTGAGAATTTTGCTACTTGAGATATAGGCCTGTATTGCAATATGCTTCCCTCTTAGGACTGCTTTTGCTGTATCCCAAAGGTTTGGAGTGTCATGTTTTCTTTTTCATTTGTTTCCTTTTATTTTGTTTCTTCTTTAATTTTCTGGCTAACCCATTCTTTAGTAGGATGTTCTTTAACTTCTATATATTTGTGGTCTTTCTAAATTTTTTTTCTTGTGGCTGACTTAAGGTTTCATAGCATTGTGGTCTGAAAGTATACATGGTATGATCGCAATCTTTTTTGCCTGTTGAGGGCTGATCTGTGACCCAGTATGTGATCTATTCTGGAGAATGCTTCATGTGCACTCAAAAAGAATGTGCATTCTACTGCTTTAAAGTGAAATGTTCTAAATACATCTGTTAAGTCCATCTGGTCTAATGTGTCATTCAAAGCCATTGTTTCCTTATTCATTTTCTGTGTAGATGATCTGTCCATTGCTGAGAGTGGGGTGCTAAAATCCCCTGCCTTTACTGTATTATTATCAGTAAGTTTCTTTATGTTTGTTATTAAATGATGTGTGCTTAAAAGTTGGGGGCATAGATATTTACAGTTGTTAGATCTTCTTATTGCCTAGACCCCTTTATTAAAATGCAGTGCCCCTCTTTATCTCTTATTATAGTCTTTGGTTTAAAACCTACTGTGTCTGATATAAATATAGCTACCCCAGCTTTCTTTTAATATCCGTTTGCATAATAAATGGTTCTTTATCCCCTCATTTTGTTTTTTAAAATATTTTATTTTTGAGAGAAAGGGGAAGAGCATGAGTTGGTGGGGGGCAGAGGAAGAGGGAGAAGCAGGCTCCCCACTGATCAGGGAGCCGAATGCAGGTCTCAGTCCCAAGACTCTGGGATCATGACCCAAGCCAAAGGCATTCACTTAAATGACTGAGCCATCCAGGTGGCCCTCTGTCCCCTCACTTTCAATCAGCATGTGTATTTAGGTCTAAAATGATTCTCTTGTAGCCAACATATTGGTGGGTCTTGTTATTTTATTCAGTCTGATACCCTATGTCTTTTGATTGGAACATTTAGTCCATTTACATTCAGTGTGATTATTGATAGATATGAATTTAGTGTCATTGTATTACCTGTGATGCCATTATTTCTGGAGATTTTTCTGTTCCTTTCTAGTCTTTGTCACTTTTGGTTCTTCTTTTCAACTCACAAGTCCCCTTTAATATTTCTTCCAGAGCTGGCTTAATGATCATCTACTCCTTTAGTTATTGTTTGGGAACCTTTTTGTCTCTCCTTTTATCTTGAATGACAGCGTGGCTGGATAAAATATTCTTGGCTCCATATTTTTCCCATTCAGGATGTTGGATATATCATGCTACTTTCTTCTGGCTTGCCAAGTTTCTGTGGACAGATCAGCTCCTAACTTTATTTGTCTTCCCTTGTAAGTTAAAGATTTTTTTTCCCTTGCTACTTTTAGGACTTTTCCCCCCTTGTTTTTTTTTTTTTTTTGCAAATTTTACCACAGTGTGTCTTCATGTCGGCTTATTTTTGTTGATTTTGATTGGAGTTCTCTATGCCTCCTGGATTTGGATATCTGTTTCTTTCCCCAGATTAGGGAAGTTTTCAGTTTTAATGTGCTTAAATAAACCCTCACCTCTTTTTCCCCCTCTCTTCTTTGGGGACTCTTGTGATATGAATGTTATTACACTTTACAGAATTGCTGAATGCCCTAAGTATATATTCGTGACCCAGTATTTTTCTTTCTCTCTTCTTTTCAGAATCATTATATTCCATAATTTTATCTTTTTTTTTAAGATTTTATTTATTTATTTGACAGACAGATATCACAGGTAGGCAGGGAGGCCGGCAGAGAGAGAGGAAAGGAAGCAGGCTCCCCACTGAGCAGAAAGCCCGATGTGGGGCTCAATCCCAGAACCCTTGGATCATGACCTGAGATAAAGGCAGAGGCCCCAACCCACTGAGCCACCCAGGTGCCCCCATAATTTTATCTTCTTATCACTTATTTATTCCTCTGCTTCTTGCATTCTTGTGGTCATTACATCCAGTTGGTTTTAAATTTCAGTTATAGCAGTTTTTATTTTGGGCTGACTAGTTTAGGTCTTTTATCTCTGCCATAATGGACTGCTTAGGTCTTCTGTGCTTTTCTTAAGCCCAGCTGGTATCCTTATGCTTGTTTTTATATTCTTGATCAGGCATATTACTCCTATCTATTTTGATTATATCCCTGGCTGTGACATTTTCTTTTTCTTTATTTTGGGATGAGTTCCTTCACCTTGGCATTTTGTCTAGGTCTCTATCTTCTTCTGTATGTTAGGTAAGCCTATTATATTTTCTGCTCCTGAGAGTAATGGTTCTGAGAGATCATATATTGTCTAGGGCCTGGTGCTTCAGGAAGTGTTTCTGGTGTATTTTGTGTGGACTCTACTGCTGTGTTTTGTCTGTGTTAACTGTTCATAGCCTCAGTCATCTTACCCCACTTTATTATATCAGAGAGTACCTCTATAATTTTCTTGAAATGGATGTGTTAGTGACATTGTGTCAGAAAATATTGTTACCGTTCCTCTTTCAGACACCGTGCATTGAAGTGTGATAACTCTTTTTATTGTGCATGCTTCTCACATACCTCTAGACAAAATAATGGCAGAAGTCAGATATACAAAGTTGGAGGTATTCCAACCCAGTCCCTGCCCCATCTTATGTTAGTACCATTAATAATGACACTTTGTTAAAAATGAAAAATCTGGGACAAATGTTAAATGGGTTAGAAGACCTAACAACAAGAGTAAAGGAGGACATTCAATTACCCTAAATGTAATGGACAATCTTGAATACATTTTTTCTTTTCAGAGTGTTTTTTAAAATTTTTAAATTATTATTATTTTTAGAGCATTGTGGGGGAGGGGCAGAGGGAGAAAGAGAATCTCAACGAACTACATGCTGGGTGCAGAGCCCCACACAGGGCTTAGCCTCACAATCCCGAGATCATGACCTGGGCTGAAATCAAGAGTTGGATGCTTAATTGACAGAGCCAACCAGGTGCCCCTCAGAGTGTACTTTTTAAAGTGGAATTATTTTTTTTAAGATCTATTTTATTTATTTTTAGAGAGAGAGCATGTGGTGGGAGGAAGAAAGAAACACAAGCAGACTTCACGCTGAGCAGGAGGCCCAGCACAGGGTTCGATCCCATGACCCTGAGATCAGATCTGAGCCAAAACCAAGAGTCCAGCGCTCAACCACTTTAAGTACCCCTTATAGTGGAATTATTGAGTTGTGGAACTTAAGAAGGAGTTTTGTAACTATATTTAGTATATTATCAACTGTTTCACCAGAAAACTGGCCCAGTTGCCATCTATGCATAAATGTTATGCAAATATTTTTAGACTATTACACGTGATTATGTTTTATCTTCCAACAAAATTTTAACTTCTAGAGGGTAGGGGGCCTACGTTCTGAATTTTTCATTTAAAAAAAATCAACCAGGGGCGCCTGGGTGGCTCAGTGGGTTAAAGCCTCTGCCTTCAGCTCAGGTCACAATCTCAGGGTCCTGGGATCGAGCCCCACATCAGGCTCTCTGCTCGGAGGGGAACCTGCTTCCTCCTCCCTCTCTCTCTCTCTCTCTGCCTACTTGTGATCTGTCTGTCAAATAAATAAATAAAATCTTTAAAAAAAAAATCAACCACAGTGTTCATAATCCCATACTCAGGTCATAATACGGCTCACATATGTTGTCAAATGGCAGACAGCAGTACTAGAATATTGGAACAGCAAATTCTTCAAAGCATTTTATATTACTCAAATAATTAATATTATTTTATACTCATTGAAAATTGGAATATAAGGTAAGCAAAAAATAAAGGAAAAATTATTTCTTTCCCCATCACCATGGCATTTATATTTACCAGACTATTTCTTCTGTAGAAGACTCTGATAACTTTTTTTAGTAATCCTTAAGTAGACTGAAGTTTAGGTGCTAATGGACAGTTGTCAGATTCTCTCACAGAAGCTAAGCTTCTGTGATGTCTTCTGCTTAATTCCAGGTTTGACTCTTCCTACAAGTGGAAAGGTGTATGTTAGTGGATATGATATCTCAAAAGACATGGTTCACGTCAGGAATGACTTGGGCTTTTGCCCCCAGGATGACATATTGTTTTCAGAATTGACAGTATCAGAACATCTCTATTTCTACTGTGTGGTGAGTCAGAGTGATGTTCTTTTCCTCCACTCTTCATATGCTTCAGGCAGTGTGACCAAGGATCAACATCCTTACCCTAATTTAGTGGAAGGTTTTTTGGCATTGTTCTTTTACCATAAAGGAAAGCAAAAGGAAAAAAGAATTGTCTTATATATAGATAACTGTGTAAGAGAAGTTCTGATATAAGAATTTTTTTAAGTGTAAAGTTGGAAGCACCTTGTAAACTCTGGCCCTCTCTTTCTAGATAAAAGGAGTACCTCCAGAGATACGTGCCACAGAAGTTAATAACGTGCTGACTTCTTTTGATCTGCTGGAAAAGCGTGATGCACTTGCACAGTCACTGAGTGGAGGAATGAAGCGCAAACTCTCTATTATTATAGCACTTATAGGAGGCTCCAAGGTAAAGAATGGTTAACGTGAGTCCCTGCTCCAGTTGATAAATGAAACTCACCTGACACAAACCTAAGAGCTGATATGAATCTAACTTTCTAAAAGGAACTTCTGAAATGATGATCAGAGGGGGTTCCCATTATTGACCTGGTGGTGTAATGTAATTATGGGTTTTGAGATTACTATTTTAACATTTTGCAGAGTTCTTAATATAATGTAGTGTAAGTTATGTATCTTAACTTAAATATGCACCCCACAAATAGTAAGTTATCCCATAAGGGACACAGCATGGATCATGAATTGTTCTTTTGGTCTTTAGGTGGTGATACTTGATGAGCCAACATCTGGCATGGACCCAGTTTCGAGAAGATTCACCTGGAGTGTCCTTCAGCAGTATAGATATGATCGTACCATCTTACTGACCACCCATCACATGGATGAAGCTGATGTCCTGGGTGACCGTATAGCCATCATGGTCAAGGGATCCCTTCAGTGTTGTGGCTCTTCAATTTTCCTGAAAAGAATATATGGTCTCTCTCTCTGATCATTGTTTGGATGCTAGTGGCTTAATAATATTATTCTAACATGATTATTACAATTTTTTGTCGCTCTACACAGGTCTTCAAAAGTTTCCTGTGTCCTATTATGTTAGATCTAAACTATTTAAATCAACTCTGTAATTAGGCAGTTCCTATCTAGTTGATTACTTCCCATTATTACTTAACAAGTATATTCTAACTTGGAAAATATTCTTTTTTGACCCCACAAAGGTCATGTTTATTTCTTTCATATAGCTTCTACTGAAGTGTTAATTTGTTGCAGGAGTAAAGTAATTCTTCTGAGGGATTTGGTACATAGATTCATGGCTTGGAGAGGAAAAAATCAGTGACTAGATATTTCTTACCCTTTCCAATCAAATCAATATCAAACTCCCAGTATAATGAGTTAAATGCTTTGAAGTTTATTTTCATGAATAATATTCCTGAGATGTGGCAGTTGATCAACAAGAATTTACTGAACAGAAAGTGACTGAACAATGGAATAAAATTGTCTTGACTTGATAAATATACAGTCTGGTTAGTCAGTGAAACTAGTAAAATGAAAATGAACAATATAAAAACCTATATAACTTGTTCTGAAATTACATGGCTCAAAGCAGTGAGTGCTTCAAAATTGGGAGGAAACATGAGAATAGTTAAACATGGTGTTCCATTAATCATGAATTCAGTATTTGAATTCATTCATCCAATCACATATATTACAGATAAGTTATTATATTCATATTTACACACATTATCTCATCTAATCTTTATGAAATCACCATTTTTATGAAGCAGAACACTGGAGCTTTTATTAGGTAATGTATCCAAAGCATGTGAGTAAGTGGACCTGTGGGTCCCTCTGGCACCAAGACCCATGCTTTGTACTCTCATATGCTACCATTTCCCATGAAAGAGGATTTTGGGTTTAAATAGTCAATTTGGTGAATGTCAGAAAGAGAGGGACTCATATTGTTGAATGCTTTTGTACTAACAGACAAGGATATAGAAATTGATATTCTCATAGTAGGTTAGTTATAGACACAAAAGTGTTACTCAAGTATATTGATTATCCATAGAATGTCTTTAGTTGCAGGCTTTATAAAGGCAATGGAGAAAAGAACATGATTTTTAAGGAAGTTGGATAAGTAAATGAAAGCAAGTGACTATATTACCCCTAGAACAATGAGTAAGTCAGCCTGGATCATAAGGTTTTTTGGGAGGATCAATAAGAAATTAAGTGTGACGGTCAGGGATAGAAAATGGAAGGACATTGAAAAAAACAAGAGTGGTTTTCATTAGATGTACACATGTATATATAAGAAGAAGTTAGAAATAGTGGATTTCAAAGCTCCATTCTAGGATTTAACAGTAAGCCACCTTAATGTGATGAATTATAAAATAATAAGAGCAACAAGACCAGAAAGATGAATATGTGTGTATACCTGTACACACATGTGTGCACAAACATGCACATGAACATGAGCGTGTGTATAAAATCCCGAATGTATCAGGCAGACTTGGTGTTAGAAGTCCATATAGCCTGTTTTCATATGACAAAATGAAGACTTCCTAGTACAGTAAGGTAAAATTTTACAGTTTTCATTCATTAACATGAATGACATGTGTCTGAAACTTTGACATGGTCTGAAAAGTGGTGAGCAAGCATTAAGTATTTAAAGAATGATGGAAGGAAGAAAATCCAAATAAAAAAGATATATAACAATAAAACTTTAACAAGTTTAAATTGTGGTCAGAGTAAAAAACCTATATACCCAAAGGTTAAAGAGTCAGGGACTGACTAAGAGGAATGGGTTGAAGGTAATTTGAAATCCATTTCCTCCTAAGCACAAACATGATTCCTCTTAAAAAATGATATTTTTAACAGGCAAGAGCCTGTTTTTTTGGGGGTGGTGTTTAATTTGGAAGGTTACCTTTTTAAAATTTTGATGTTTAAATGGTTGTTTTCAGGTGTGGGATACCACATAATTATGGTGAAGGAACCTCATTGTAATGTTAAAGAAATTATTGAAGTGATTAATCAACATATACCTGAGGCCAGATTGGAGAGCGATGTTGCAGCTGAATTATCATTTATCTTACCCAAAAAGTACACACACAGGTACGGATCCAGAAAATCTCAGATAAATGATTTTGGGTTACCAGAAATAACTATTGCTTTTCCAGGTTTTCTTGGGCTTGGCAAGCAGATTATTTCTTGTTGCCACTTGACAAGTAATAGTCAATTTACTTTCCAGGGCACCCAGTGAGCGAGCCTGTTACTAGTCTCCGGTTTCAGTGGGCCTTGAAGCCCCAGAAGTTTCAGCACAGTGAGCTCAGTTGGGGCAGGGTATGAATTGTCAGCCCCTACATTCTGTCCTGATGGAAGGGTTTTTCAAGTTGTATATGCTATGAAGGCTATGAAAACAGTAGTATAGCTATTGGAATCAGATGTAAAGATGGTGTTGCCTTTGGGGTAGAAAAGCTAGTCCTTTCTCAGCTATACAAAGAGGGTTCCAATGAATGACTTTTTAATGTTGGTCGGCTGGCAGGTTTGTTGGCAGATCCTCATTCCTTAGCAGACATTGCAAGAGAAGAAGCTTCCAACTTTAGATCTAATTTTGTCTATAACTTTCCATTACGATGTCTTGCGGATAGAGAGGCTATGTATATACATGCATATACACTGTACAGTGCAGTTAGACCTTTTGGTTCTGGCTTCATGTTAGGGTCTTATAGTGTGAATGATGGTGCACAGCTCTACATCAGGAGTTTCATATGGAAATTGGGACTGTGGCATTGCCAAAGCCAGGCAAACAACAAAAGACAGAAACTAAGGGAAGAGGAAACTTATCATAAACTTCCAGGACCAGGCCAACTTGCAAGATGTAATTACTAGCTTCATATTCCTTTAAAGCAAGCTTGTTGGCATTCTCAAAAGAAAAGTAGAGGGGAACTTCTTCAACTGGATAAGGAGTATCTACAAAAAGCCTGTAGCTAACATCATGCTCAATGGTGAGAAACTTGAAGCTTTCCCATTAATAGCAGGAACAAAGCAAGGAAGTCCTCTCTCACCACAGCTCTCAACATCATGCTGAAAGTCCTAGCTAATGTGATAAGAAAAGACAAGGAAATGTATGTAGATTGGGAAAGAAGAAATAAAACTACCTTTGTTTACAGATGACATGATCATCTTATACAAAATGTCTGAAAGAATTGACCAAAAAACCCCCCTAAACTTCTGGAATTAATAAGTGATTAAAGCAAAGATTCAGTATACAAAGTTAATATGCAAAAGTAAGTCACTTTCCTATATATATTAGCAATGAATAAGTGTAATTTGAAATTATAAACACACTTCTAAATTTAGCACCTCCAAAAATGAAATGCTTAGGTATAAGTCTACCAAATATATGCAAGCTCTATATGAGGAAAACTATCAAACTTGGATGAATGAAATAAAAAAACTAAAAAACAAAATATTTTATGTTTATGTATAGAGAGACAATATTGTCAGATGTCTGTTTTTCCCAGCTCGCTCTATAATTCAGTGCAGTCCTTTTTTTTTTCTTTTTAAGTATGCTCCATGCCCAACATGGAGCTCAAACTCACAACCCTAAGATCAAATTGTGAGCTGAGATCAAGAGTCAGACCCTCAACTGACTGAGCCACACAGACACTCCTTGATTCAATGCAATCTTAATCAAAATCTCAATAAATTATTTGATGGATATCAACAAATTGATTCTAAAGTTTATGGAGAGGTAAAAGGCAGGCAACACAGTATTGAAGGGGAACAGTTGGAGGACTGACACTAACCAGTTTGAAGGCTTGTTATAAATCTGCCATAATCATGACAGTATGATATTAGTGAAAGAATAGAAAAATAGATCAATGGAACAGAAGCAATCCAGAAATAGACCAACATCAGTATAGGCAACTGATCTTTGTCAAAAAAGCAAAGGCAATACAGTGGAAAAAAGATAGTCTCTTCAACAAATGGTACTAGAACCACTGGAAATCCATATGCAAAAAAATTAATAAGACACATATCTTATACCCTTCACAAAAGTAACTCAAAATGGATCATAGGTCTAAATGTAAAATGAAAACCTATAAAACTGCTAGAAGATGGGGCATCTGAGTGTCTCAGTTGGTTAAACCACTGCCTTCAGCTCAGGTCATGATCCCGGAGTCCCAGGATCAAGTCCTGCATTGGGCTCTCAGCTCCACAGGGAGTCTGCTTCTCCCTCTGACCTTCTCCCCTCTCATGCTCTCTCTCTCTCTCTCTCTCAAATAAATAAACTAAAAACTGCTGGAGATCTAGGAGAAAACCTAGATGCCCTTTGGTATGGCAGTGAGTTTTTAGTTACAACACCAGCAGCATGATCTCTGAAAGAAATCATTGAAAAGCTGGGCTTTATTAAAATGAAAAATTGCTCTGTGATGGGCAATGTCCAGAGAATTAGAAATCAAGCCACAGATTGGGAGAAATATTTGTAGAAGACACATGTAATAAAAAACTGTTATCCAAAATATTAAAGAACTCTTAGAACACAACAATAAGAAGACATACAACTCAATTTAAAAATGGGCCAAAAACTTTTTAAAAAACTTATTTATTTGTTTTAGAGAGAGAGAAAAAGAGTATGCGAGGGGGATGGGCAGAGGGAGAGGTAGACAGAGAATCCCAAGCAGACTATGCACTGAGTCCAGAGCCCAACACAGGGCTCAGTCTCATGACCCACGAGATAACAACTTGAGCCAAAACCAAAAGTCTGATGCTTAACTGACTGAGCCACTCATGCACTCCTAAAAATGAGCCAAGACTTTAACAGACACCTCACCAAAGAAGACATATGAGTGGCAGATAAACACACGAAAAGATGCTTACCTCGTATCAGGTAAATACAAATTAAAACAATAATTAGATACCATTACACACTGATTAGGATGACCGAAATCTGGAGCACTGACAACACCAAATACTGACAAGGCTGTGGATTTGACAAGGACTCTCATTCATTGCTTGGCAGAATGTAAAATGGCACAACCACTTTGGAAGACAATTAGGTGGTTTCCTACGAAACTAAACATACTTTTGCCATTTGATTCAGCACTCACATGCCTTGGTATATATCCAAAGTAGTTAAAAACTTACATACTCACAAAAACCTACACAGAGATACTTATAGCAACTTTATTCATAATTGCCAAGACTTGGGAAGCAAGCAAGATGTCCTCAGTAAGTGAATGGATGAACTGTGTTTCATCCTGACAAGGAAATATTATTCAGCATTTCACAGAGATGAGGTATCAAACTGTGAGGAGACATGGGGACCTCAAATGCATATTACTAAGTGAAAGAAACCAATCTGAAAAGGCTACATACCAGATGATTTCAACTCTCAACATTCTGGAAAAGGTAAAACTATGGAGACAATGAGAAGATCAGTGGTTGCCAAGGGTGTAGGTAGGGTGAGATAAGTAGGAACAAATATTTAGGGCAGTGAAAATACTCTGTAATAGTACTCTATAATGTCCAAATTTTTGAATATATAGCACCAAGAGTAAACCTTTGAGTAATCTGTGGATATTAGGTGAGTATGATATGTCAATGAAAGCTCATTTTTTGTGAAAAAAAATGTGACATTCTGGTGAGTGATAGTGGTAGTGGGGTGGCTATGTTTGTTGGAGCAGGGATATATAGGAAATCTCTGTACCTTTCTTTCAATTTTATTGTAAACCTAAAACTATTTTAAAAATAAAGTATTAAAAAAAGACTCAAGAAAAAATAAAAATCTGATTAGATCTCTAGCAAGTAGAGATTGAATTAGGAATCAGAATCTTTCCTAGTGAAAAGACAAGGGTCAGGTGGCTTCAGTGGTGAGTTCTACCAAATGTTTAGGTAAAGATGAATACAGTCTTTTGCAAACTGTTCTACAATAGAAGAGGGAACTAGTTCCATTTTATGAGGCCAGTATAACCATATAATAAAACTAGAAACATAAAACTATAGAGAATCACTTCTAGAATATTGAGGCAAAAAAACAAAACAAAAACAAAAACAGTTCAACCCAAACACAAAATACTAGTGAAACCAATCCACAAGCATTTAAAAAGGATTATATACCTCGACCTAGTCAGATTTGTGTCAGGAGTATAAGGTTGGTCCACATGCAAAAATTATCGATGTAAAATACCACATTAATAGAATAAAAAACAAACATTACATGATTATCTCAAAAAATGAAGTACCTTTGACACAATCCATAGCCATTGATGATAAAAAAAAAAAACCCTCAACAAATTAGGAATAGAAAACAAGTTTCTCAGCTTAACAGGCATCTGTGAAAAACCCACAACTAGCATCATATTTGGTGGTGAAAGGATAAAAGCTTTCCCTGTAAGATAAGGAACAAACTAAGACATCTTTTGCCATTTGTATTAAACCTTGTACCAGCAGGCAACTAGAGAAGAAAGATAAGTAAAAGGAATCCAAATCAGAAAGAGGAGTGAAACTATCTATATTCATAGATAACATGTTCTTATATAGGGAAAATTATAAAGAACCAACTTTAAAAATGTATTAAAAATGTATTAGGACTAATAAACTATCTCAGTGAAGTTGCAAGATAAAATATTAAAATATTACTTATATTTTCTATATACTAGCAGTGAGCAGTCCAAAAATGAAATTAAGAAAGTAATTCCATGTACAGTACTATAGAAACAATAAAATAGCAAAAATTTAACAAAAGAACTGTTTGACATACAACTTTTTGAAAACTATAAAAAATCATTGAAAGAAGTTAAAGAAGACCCAAGGAAATGGAATGACATCCTGTATTCATAGATTGATATTAAGATAGCAGTACTCCCTACATAATCAACATGATGCCTATAAAAAATTCCAATTGTTTTGGGGCACCTGGGTGGCTCAGTGGATTAAAGCCTCTGCCTTCCGCTCAGGTCATGATCTCAGGATCCTGGGATCAAGCCCCGCATTGGGCTCTCTGCTCAGTGGGGAGCCTGCTTCCTTTCCTCTCTCTCGGCCTGCCTCTCTGCCTACTTGTGATCTCTGTCAAATGAATAAATAAAATCTTAAAAAAAAATTCCAACTGTTTCAACATACAATCTAGGATTCTAACTGTATTTAGTTATCATGTCTCGTTATTCTCCTACAGTCTTTGACAGTTGTTCTTTCTTTTGTTTCATGACCTTGACATTTTTTTTAACATCTTAATTTAATTTTATTTTTTTCAGTGTTCCAAGATTCATTGTTTATGCACCACACCCAGTGCTCCATGCAATATGTGCCCTCCTTAATACCCACCACTGGGCTCCCCCATCCCCCACCCAAAACCCTCAGATTGTTTCTCAGAGTCTACAGTCTCTCATTCATGATTCATCTCCCCCTCCTGTTTCCCCCAATTCACTTTTCCTTTCCTTCTCCTAATGTCCTCCATGTTGTTCCTTATGCTCCATAAGTAAGTGAAAACATATGATAATTGACTTTCTCTGCTTGACTTATTGAACCACTGTTAACTTCTTATTTCAGTAGGTGAAATATGTTAATATTAGAGAAATCTGGATAAAGGGTATACAGGAATTTTCCTTAATATCTTCACAACTCTTTCGTAAAATTACTCCAAAATAAAAAGTCTTAAAAAAAATAAAAAATTCCAACTGCCTTTTTTTTTTTTTTGCAGAAATTGACAGGCTGATTCTAAAATTAATATGGAATGGAAGGGTTGCTAAATAACCAAAACAATCTTGAAAAAAAGGAAAGTTTGAGGATTCATATTTCCTGATTTCAAAACTTACTATGAAATTATAGAAATCAAACTATATGGTACTAGAATAAGGATAGACATGCACAGAAATGAAGTAAATCAGAATTCAAGATAAATGTTTTACATAAAATTGATTTTCTCAAGCATCCAGAGACAGTTCAGTTGGGGAAATAACAGCCTTTTTAGCAAACGATGCCAAATGTGAATATGCCAAATGTGAATACCCACATGCAAAAGAATAAAGCTGGATCCTTACTCTCACACCATAGACAAAAAATTAGGTTGGGGTGCCTGGGTGGCTCAGTGGGTTAAAGCCTCTGCCTTCGGCTCAGGTCGTGATCCCAGGGTCCTGGGATCAAGCCCGCATCTGGGTCTCTGCTCGGCAGGGAGCCTGCTTTCCCCCTGCCCCCGCCTGCCTCTCTGCCTACTTGTGATCTCTATCTGTCAAATAAATAAGATCTTTTAAAAAAGGTCAAATGGAGCAAAGGCCTAACTACAAGAGTGGAACTTTTAGGAAAAATATACAGGCATAAATCTTAGTGACCTTGGATTAAGCAATTTTTCTTAGATATGACGTGAAAAAATATAAGCAACCAAGAAATAGAAATAGATAAATTGACTTCATGAAAAATTAAAATGTTTCACCTTCAAGTACACTATCAAGAAAGAGACAGCCCAAATAATGGGGAAAAAATTATAAATCACTTATATCTGATAAATGACTCGTACACAGAATATATAAAATATCTTTTCACCTTGCTCTTAAAAGACAAGTCATTTAATTTAGAAATGGACAAAGAATTTGAATAGATGTTTTTAAATAAATATGAATAAATGATCAAGACACATGAGATGATGCTCAATATCATTAGTATTATAAAAGCAGAAAATAATAACCACAGTGAGATACTGCTGCACATCCAGTGGGATGGGATAATATTTTCTTAAAGAAAATACAAGTTTGAGTTTGGTTATGGAGAAGTCAGAACCCTTATACATTGGTGGTAAGCATGTAGAATAGTATAGCCACTTTGGTAAAGTATTTATGAATTCCCCAAAAAGATTGAGTTACCATGATCCAGCAATTCCACATCTCAGCATATACCTGGGAGTTTTGGAAATTTATGTCCACAAATAAGTTTTTAGTAGCATTATTAGTAATAGTCAAAAAGTAGAAGTTACCCAAATGTCCATTGATTCATGTATGGATAAACAAAATATGGTATATCCATATAATGGAGTAAAAAATGTTAAAGGAATGAAGTGTTATACATGCTACAACTTGGATGAACTTTGAAGTCATTAAGACAAGTGAAAGAAGACACAAAAGGCCACATACTGTATAATTCCATTTATATGACATATTGAGAATAGGCGAATCCAAATGGGATTTTTATATGCAATTTTTTTCTTTTCATGATTGCTTGATGTAGACTCACAATGTTCTTTTTAATCTTAACTGAGATAATGAAGAAGAAAATTTCCAAATTTTTAAAATTTATATGGTTCTATATTGTGGAAGGGATACAGGAATGAATAGTAACCATTACTCTGGATGAAGAAAAGAAAGTTGATATGCCTGACATCATATTATTCATCTATTTGTTTATTGTATTGACTTACACTAAAATGTTATATCAGGGACTTAGTTTTGTTCACTTCTGTGTCTCTTGGACCCAGAACATTTTCTAGCATGTATTTGGCACTACATAAATATTTGATGGAGGGGTGAAATAATCATTGATGAGTGAAAATTATAAGAATTATTTAGGGAAGGGCAAGGTGCTCTTATATTGGAATCACGAGGAAAAGTGAGCAACATGTAAACCAATATTCAAATGAAGAATAAAATTTAGGTAGGAGAGGAGGTGGGTTAGAAACAATTTTTGGAAAAAAAATCAGAAATAAAAAAGGACAAGTCACATTTGAGAGCCTAGACAAAGGCCAGTATGGCTGGAGCATGGAGGGAAAAGTACACAGATATGACTGTTGTTAAATTGGAATCTTTTTCCGTCCCTTCATTTTAATTTTTTGGCACTCAATTTCTTTTCTTTTCCTTCCTTCCTTCCTTTTTTTTCTTTCTTCTCTTCTCTCTTTACTTTTCTCTCTCCCTCTCTTTCTTTTTTCCTTCCTTTCTTCCTTCCTTTTTCCACTGCTGAAGGAAATTAATTAGGAACAAGAAATATTAATTTGAAAATAATCTGTTTTGGTGGTAACTTTCACTCTTCTTCTCCTTATTCTAGGTTTAAAGACCTACTTACTGATCTGGAAAACAGGCAGAAAGAGCTGGGCATTAGTAGCTTTGGTGTCTCAATTACTACCATGGAAGAAGTTTTCCTTAGGTGAGTAATGATGCTTGGAGGGACAGGAGAGAGGAAAAATCTCTTCCTCTATAATTGGATTTTGTTTTGAAATCAAACCCCATAACTGGAATCATTGAGGAAATAGTATTAGATTGTTAGGTATGGTAATCTTCTATGAATGCCAACAGACCAGTGTATGCCCCTTGCTCCTCTAATGGGCTGAGGCTCCTATGAGTCGTGGGACTAGGGTGAGAATAGCGATTCATTGAGCTGGAGAGACAGGATCTTCCCTGCAAATCATGAGGGTGTAGAACCACAGAAAATAACTAAACCGAGGTTCTAAATACCCAGGGTAGTGGAGTATTGGGTGGGAAAGTTATTTATGAAACTTTTGGGTTTGTATTTGGGTGCCTGTGCCTTTCGAGCGCGGGGGATTAGGACTGGCCTAGAGCAAAGAGAATTTATGGGTCACAGCGAAAGTCCAGTATCTAAATTAGAGGTCGTAGTGAGGATGACTTTAAAATCTTTAATCTAGTCATGTCTCTGTAACCTACTTAAATTGTCCATGGTTTATGGTCTGAGATTACCTTGCACTGTGTGAAAGCTCAAAGAGAAGGTGCCCAGGGATTTCAGGATGCTGCTAAGAGAAGGCCAACTGGTTAGCAGTGAAAAGATCTCACAAAAAGTCTTTTCTGGACTTTTCTAGACTTCAGTCTCTCAGGCTTAGAAACAGTCTTTTCTTTTTTTTTTAAGATTTTATTTATTTATTTGACAGACAGAGATCACAAGTGGGCAGAGGGGCAGGCAGAGAGAGAGGAGTAAGCAGGCTCCCCGCCAAGCAGAGAGCCCAATGTGGGGCTTGATCCCAGGATCCTGAGATCATGACCTGCGCAGAAGGCAGAGGCTTTAACCCACTGAGCCACCCAGGCACCCCTAGAAACAGTCTTGACAGCCTCACTGTTTCATGGAGTTCTGACTAAGGGATGTATTTTGCAATACAGGCCTACCTCAAGAAGTAAGAAAAATCTCAAATACATAACCTAACTTACACCTAAAAGAGCTAGAAAAGGAATAACAAATAAAGCCTAAAACCAGCAGAAAAAAGATAGAGGAGAAATAAATGATATAAAAACAACAACAAAAAAACCAGTAGAACAGATCGATAAAACTAAGAGCTAGTTCTTTGAAAGAATTGGTTTTAAATTGATAAACCCCTAGCCAGACTTATCAAAAAGAGAAAGAACCCAAATAAATAAAAACATGAATGAAGAAGGAGAGATCACAACCAATACCATAAAAGTACAATTATAAGAGAATATTATGAAAAATTATATGTCAACAAATGGGGCAATCTGGAAGAAATGGATAAATTCCTAGAAACCTACAAATGACCAAAACTGAAACAGGAAGAAGTAGAAAATTTGAATAGACCCATAAACAGGAAAGAAATTGAATTAGTAATAAAAAATCTCCTAATAAACCAAAGTCCAGGGCCAGATGATTTCCCAGGGGAATTCTACCAGACATTTAAAGAAGAGTTAATACCTATTCTTCTCAAACTGTTCCAAAAAACAGAAATGGAAGGAAAACTTCCAAACTCACTATGAGACCAGCATTACTTTGATTCCAAAATCAGACAAACTCCACTAAAAAAGAGAAAAATAGGACAGTGTCCCTGATGAGCATGGATGTAAAAATTATCAACAAGATACTAGCAAATCGAATTTAACAGTACGTTAAAAGAATTATTCATCTTAATCAAGTGGGATTTATTTCTGGGCTGTAGGGATGGTTCAGTATTCACAAATAAATCAACGTGATAAATCACATTAATAAAAGAAAGGATAAGAACCATATGATCCTCTCAATAGATGCAGTAAAAGCATTTGACAAAGTACAGTATTCATTCTTGATAAAAACCCTCAACAAAGTAGGGATAGATGGAACATACCTCAACATCATAAAGGCCATATATGAAAGGCCCACAACTGATATCATCCTCAGTGGGGAAAAGCTGAGGATGGTCAGGAACAAGACAGGGATGTCCCCTCTCACCATTTCTGTTTCACGTAGTACTAGAAATCCTCGTAACCTCAACTGTCAGACAACAAAAAGAAAATAAAAGGCATCCATACCAGCAAGGAAGAAGTCAAAGTTTAATTATTCACTGATGACATGATACTGTCTATAGAAAACCTGAAAGTCTCTACCAAAATGACTCCACTGGTAAACAAATTAAGCAAAGTTGCGTTTCTATACCAATAATGATGCAGCAGAAAGAGGAATCAAGGAATCAGTCCCATTTAAAATTGCACCAAAACCCAGGGTGCCTGGCTGACTTTGTCAGTGGAGAATGTGATTCCTTTTTTTTTTTTTAATTTTTAAATTTTTAAATGTGCCCCAGCATGTGACTCTTGATCTCAGAGTTTTGAGTTTGAGTTTGAGCCCCATGTTGAATATAGAAATTGCTTAAAAACAAAAGCAAAATTTAAAAACAGTGGTACCAAAACCCTAAGATACCTAGTAATAAACCTAACCAAAGAGATAAAAGAACTGTGCTCTGAATGCTCTAGAACATGTATGAAAGAAATTGAAGAGGATACAAAGAAATAGAAAAACATTCCATGTTCTTGGATTAGAATAAGAAATAATGTTAAAATGTCTATACTACCCAAAGCAATCTACACATTTAATGTAAACCCTATCAAAATAACAGCAGCATTTTTCACAGAGCTAGAACAATTAATCCTGAGGGGTGCTTCAGTGGCTCAAGTCAGTTAAGTGTCCAGCTCCTGATTTCTGCTCAGGTCATGATATCGGGGTCCTGGGATTGAGACCTGTGTCAGGCTCTCTGCTCAGCAAACCAGGGAGTCTACTTGAGGATTCTCTTTTCCTCTTCCCTCTCCACCAACTTACATGTGTGCTCTCTCTCCCTCTCTCTCTCTCTCAAATAAATAAGTCTTCAACAACCCTAAAATTTGTATGGAACCACAAAAGACCCTGAATTGCCAAGCAATCTTGAAAAAGAAAAGCAAAGTTGGAGATATCACAATTCTGAATTTCAAGCTATATCACAAAGCTGTAATCATCAGAACAATATGATACTGACATAAAAACTGACACACGGATCAATGGAACAAAACTCGAAAACCCAGAAAAGGCCTACAACTATGTGGTCAATTAATCTTTGACAGAGCAGGAAAGAATATCCAATGGAGAAATCACAGTCTTTTCAACATCTGGGGTTGGGAAAATGGGACAGCAATATAGAAGAGTGAAACCGGTCCACTTTCTTACACATACACAAAAATAAATTCAAAATGGATGAGAGACCTTAGTGTGAGACAGTGCCTCCTCTCAGTAGGAGAGCAGATGCAGCAACCTCTTTGACCTTGGCTGCAGCAACTTCTTACTAGACACATCACCGGAGGCAAGGAAGACAAAAGCAAAAATGAACTATTGGAACTTCATCAAGATAAAAAACTTCTGTCCAGGGCGCCTGGGTGTCTCAGTTGGTTAAGTAACTGCCTTCAGCTCAGGTCATGATCCCAGAGTCCTGGGATCGAGTCCCGCATCAGGCTCCAGGCTCCATGGGGAGTCTGCTTCTCCCTTTGACCTTCTCCCCTCTCATGCTCTCTGTCTCACTCTCTCTTTCTCAAATAAATAGATAAAATCTTAAAAAAAAAAAAAAAAAAAAAAAAACAACAAAAACCTCTGTCCAGCAAAGGAAGCAATCAACAAAACTAAAAGTCAGCCTATGTAATGGGAGAAGATACTTGCAAATGACATATCTGATAAAGGGTTGGTATGAAAAAATCTATAAAGAACTTATCAATCTCAACACCCAAAAAACCAGATAATTCAATTAAGAAATGAGCAGAAGATATTGTTGTAGGATTGCAGGGTTCTTGTCTCATTGAGTTGAAGAATGAATCTCTGGACACAAAAGGGTGAAGTGAAGTGTAAGTTTATTAAGTGAAGGTGAGAGCAGAAAAGAAAGAAAAAGCTCTCTATAGAGTGAGAGAAGACCTGTGAGTTGCCACTGTGTGTTTTAGGACTGGTCTTTTATTGAAAAGTTAACCAGAAAGCTTGTGGCCTTGAGATTCTTATGCCATCTTGGTTTCAGCAAGGACTATTGATGACATCCTTAATGACTTACTTCTTTGAGGTAAATTTTTAATAATAGAATAGCTTTATATTTACAGAAAAGTAGCAAAGATAATGCAGAAATCCTGTATGCCCCTCATGCAGTTTCCCAGTTGTTAACATCCTTCACTACTACAGTACATTGGTCATGACTAAGAAACCAACATTGGCAAATTGCTATTAATTAAACCTACATTTTATTCACATTTCACTAGTTTTTCCTCTAAAGTCCACGAAAGTCCATTTTCTGTTCCAGGATCCCATCCAGCATATGTTATATTTAGTCATTTCTCTTTAGTCTCATCTGGTTTGTGAGAGTTTCTTATACCTTCCTTGTTTTCATAACCTTGGACATTGTGATCAGATGTTTTGTATAATGTTCCTGAATTTGGGTTTGTCTTACGTTTTTCTCATGGTTAGAATGGGGTTATGGCTTTTGGGGAAGAATATCACAAAGATGAAGTGCCCTCTTCCTCTTATCCTATGGGGGGGGTACATGATAGTAACATGACATATCACTGTGATGGAACTACTACTTTGATCACCTGGCCAAGGTAGTATTACATGAGTCCATACTGATATAAGTAGGGGGCTGAACGAATAAATGGAGAAGAGAGACAAATCTTCCTTGTAGAATTCCAGATAATGTTATAGCTACTGTTCCTTCCAGGAAGTGTATGTATTCAGTCCCTTCTCCCCTTGAGTATTGAGTATGATCTGTGTCTGATACATGCTTCTAAAGAACACAGTACAAAATGGGGAGAAAAGGTAATTTTACAGTGGAGAAATCATATTTTAATATTATTGTATATACATTTTTGCACCCATAAACATGTATAAACATGTTTTATGAGCTTAATGTTTTATATAAATGGTATTTAATAGCCCTGAAAAAATTTTTTTTTCCTCTAAAGGAATAGACATTTTATATCTCTCCATGTTGACATTTATATAAGGAGAAATTTCGTTCATTCTCTCCAATTGATATATATCATATTTCTTACATAAGTATCATATTTTTTATTATATTGTATTATTTATTCTAGTATTTTGCTATTACACACTTTAGTGAATATCTTTGTATCTGTCTTCTGGGCAAATATGTGAGATTTCTCTAGAGTGTATATCTAACAATGGAATTTCTAAATTGTGGAAGGTGGGTATTTTCAACTCGCTGGATGTTGTCAGGTATTCACCAATGCATTAGAACTAGCTCACTGTATAATTGGCAGGATTTGAGTCTTTCCTTTTCATCAGCACAATACTGGATATGCATTGACAAAGTTATTTTGCCCATTCTAAGTCCTCTTTATCGAGTCAGAAATTTTAGAATCAGCTGATCAGTTGTTACAAAAATTTCTGGCATGCTGGTTTATCTGGCTGGAATTGATCTGATTAGAAACCATAGGTCAGTTTGGGGAGAATTTGTATCTTTAAAATATTGAGTCTTCTAACTGAACTCAGTATAGTATATCTGCATTTATTTTAATCTTCTTTAATCTTTCTCAGTAATGCTTTACTGTGTAGATTTTATACATCTTTTGTCAGATTCATCCCGAAGTATTTTTCATTTTTAGATGCTATTGAAGATGGAATTTTTTAAAATTTCAATTTCAGATTGTTCCTTACCAGTATATAGAAAATACTTGACTTTTGGATGTTTCATTTTCTTACCCTGCTGCAATGGGTAGACCTCCAATAAAGTCTTGAATGGAAGTAGTTAAGAATATCCCTTTCTGAACTCAGAGAAAAAACATTTAGTTTTTCATAAGTAAGTATGATACAAGCTGTAGGTTTTTATAGATGGCCTTTATAAGTTTGAGAAAGATCTCTTCCATTCCTATATTAATGAGAGTTTTTATCAGGAATGAATGTTGGATTTTGTCAAATTTTTTTCCATATCTAATGAGATGATTAAGTGCCTTTTCTTTTTTAGTTTCATAAAATGGTAAATTTTATGAATTTTTGAACGTTAAAACATTAAATGAACCCTTGTATTATTATAACAAACCCTGTTTAGTTATGATATATCATTAATTTTATTATCATATTGTTAAATTTGATTTCAAATTTTGTTCAGAATTTTTGCATTTATGTTCATGAGATATGGTTTATGATTTTTTTTTTAACATTGAGTCAACTTTCTTTTTCTTCCTGTTTTTATTTAAATTCTAATTAGTTGAGGTACCTGGTGGCTCAGTCAATTGTCTGCTCTGAACTTGGGGTTGTAAGATTCATTCCAGTGTCAGGTTTTGGGATTCTCTCTCTCTACCTCTTCCTCTGCCCCTCCCCCATACTGTTCACACACTCTCTCTCTAAAAGAAAATTCTAGTTACTTAACATGTAGTGTAATATAGGTTTCAGAAGTAGAATTTAGTGGTTCATCACTTAAATATAACACCCAGTGCTCACGATAAGAGGGTTCTTCTTTCTCTGCATTGCCATCAGCGTGTGTTTTTTCCTGTGTTGTTCATTTTAGCCATTCTGACTGGTGAGAGGTGATATCCTATAGTGGCTTTTATTTTGTATTTCCCTGATGCTGAATGATGTTGAGCATTTTTTCATGTTTCTGTTGGTCATTTTATGTCTTCTTTGCAGAAATGTCTTTTCATGTCTTCTGTCCATTTCCTTTTTTTTCCCCTAAGATTTTATTTATTTATTTGAGAGAGAGAGAGCGAGAGAGAGAGCATGAGAGGGGAAAAGGTCAGAGGGAGAAGCAGACTCCCCATGGACCAGGGAGCCTGATGGCAGGACTTGATCCTGGGACTCCAGGATCATGACCCCAGCCGAAGGCAGTCTCCCAACCAACTGAACTACCCAGGCACCCTCTTCTGTCCATTTCTTGATGGAATTTTTTTGGGGGGGGTCGGAGGGGATGTTAAATTTGTTAAGTTCTTTGTTGGTTTTGAATACTAGCCCTTTATCTGATAAGTCATTTGCAAATATCTTCTCCTGTTCCATAGGTTGCCTTTTGGTTTTGTTGACTGTTTCCTGACCTATGCAAAGCTGTTTATCCTGATGAAGTCCCAGTAGTTCATTTTGCTTTTGTTTCTGTTGTCTCTGGAGATGTGTTTAGCAAGTAGTTAATGTGTCTGAGGTCAGAGATGTTGCTATCTGTGTTCTCCTCTAGGATTCTGATGGATTCCTGTCTCACATTTAGGTCTTTCATCCATTTTGAGTTTATTTTTGTATATGGTGTAAGAAAGTGGTCCAGTTTCATTCTTTTGCATGTGGCTGTCCAATTTTCCCAACACCTAGAATGAATGTAAATAATTTTAGAAGCAAGTTGCATAACAGTGTATTATAGCAGATCCAAATTTTTCATTTTATGTGTATGTATACATACATTCATGCCTGTGCATATGTGGATATAGAAAAATGTCATTTGCATCTGCCTGAGTTGTAAGATCTTGAGTATTTTTTTTTCCTCTGGCTTATTGTAATTTTAAAACTTTTCCCATTGACTATGTCTTATAAAATTAATAAAAACCTCATAAAGGAATTAGAAGAAAAAGGCAAGGTAAGAACCGTACTCGTCTTCAGTAGTATCTATTACTGTTGTTTCACAGAGACCAGACATAGCACAAATACTACCTTGAATTTAAAACATTATTGTCAGACCAAATCAGTATCTGATGTGCTTTTTTGTGGTCCTGGTCAAAGAAAGTTATTAAAAAGTCTTGCTGGTTCACTGATTTAGAGTGAAAAATTTATCTCCTCAAATTATGAGATTTCATCACAGGTTTCAGAATGCCCATGGTTGGATCTCAGATCTCTATAGTATGAATTTTACGATTCCATTTATCATTTTTTCCCATATATTAAAATTAAATAACAATGTATGTTTCTCCCATAGAGTCGTGAACTCTTGGAGGATAACTGAACTCTGTGGTCATTTGCTCATAAACCATTACAGATGTTTAGATTGCCTGGAGCAGAAAGTTGAGAAAACAAATCTGTTAAACTGGCATACACTTAGAAACATTATAGAAATAAAAGTCTGCTAGAATTAGTATCATTCTTTAAAATAAATGTACTAGCTCTCTCTTCTAAAAAAAATATACTGTCTTATACCTTTAACTTAATTAAGTTTGGTTTATTTTATCCAATATTAATGTTAACATTATATAACTGTGCTTGCTTTTTTTTTTTTTAATTTTTGCCATCAACCATGAGAATCTTGCAATGAAACTACTGTTATAGTTAAAATGAATATTTGTTTGTGTGCAGGGTCATTAGGGAGGATGAGGAAGCTTTCCAGACCCCATCCCTAAAGGAGAAAAACAGAAAAGAAGACATGAACCAGAATATGAATGCTTCTGGAAGTTTTGAGAGATCATACTCTCCTACTGCAAGTGAACACTCTAATATTAGGTTTAATACTGGGGTGAGCATCTTTACTAAGAGTGCAATGCTAGTGGTATACGTTTGGATGGGATAAAAGATAAATTTTATTTTAATGTTTGAATTCAAAGGAGACTTCAGAGTTCTTAGCCAGGGAAGGCCAAGTAAGGAAGAGTCTGTAAAACAATCCAATCAATTTTCTAATTCAAAAGTTAAAATATGATAGTTAAAAATCAGATTTTACTCTCAGCATTATTTCTTTTTTTTTAAATTTAATTTAATTTTTTCAGTGTTCCAAGATTCATTGTTTATGCACCACACCCAGTGTTCCATGCAATACATGCCCTCCTTAATACCCATCACCAGGCTCACACCTCCCCCCACCCCAAAACCCTCAGTTTGTTTCTGAGTCTACAGCCTCTCATGATTCATCTTCCCCTCCGATTTCTCCCAATTCACTTTTCCTTTCCTTCTCCTAATGTCCTCCATGTTATTCCTTATGCTTCTTATTTCTGAGTTACTTATCTCAGTTTTTAAAATTGTTTGTTCATTCAGAGTTGAAAAAAGTCCTTAACAAAAGTTATCACTATTTACACATATAAAAGCCATTTAAAAAATTTTTTAAATTCTATTAGCCAGCATATAGTACATACTTAGTATCATATGTAGTGTTCAATAATTTATCAATTGTGTCTAGGAACCAGTGCATGAAAGCCACTTAAATTTATGCCTTGGAATGTGTGGGCACTTTCTAATAGACTGTTCCCCAACCATTTCCTCATTAGTATGGGAAAATTCATTGGATTGCCAATAATTTCTTTCATTGTTCTCCGATTGTCTTTTCCCTACAGTTTCCCTAATGAAGACTAGGAATTCTGAGATGATCAGCATTTCTCAGAGTTGCCCATAAGCATGCCTTCACTGAGGGGCTTATGAGCTAGTTGTAAAGCAGAATGGGTATTGTACAACCAGAGTGCAGAATTTTGAGCCAATTGGAACTGGAATTCCTATTCTATCATTTCCTGTCTATTTGACTTTGACCAAAATAGTTACCATATTTGCATTTCAATTTCATTCTCTGCAAGACTGTTTTAATGAGTTAATACTAGTAAAATTTGAGTTTCATAATGTTTGGCATGAATCAGTTACAAAATGTGATTTTTCTTGTCTCCTTGCTTGCTCATTTCTCCTATTGTATCACTCTTCCCTATTTCCCTCTCTTATGAAGATGCAGATGAAGGAAGATTTGCAGACTAGTCTAGAAAAGTTGATTCTTACATTCGTATATTCTTTCACTCTAGAAATATATTTAATAAGCCATCTTATAAAAGTCAGAAAGCACATTCTTCTACTTTGAAGACAATGTGTGAAAAAAATTTTCCTTCTAAACTTTACCTTATTTTTGGCCAGTGACAATAACCAAATGTTGATTTTTTTCATTCAGATGATATTGGTTGATTGATTAGGGATTTTTTTTCATGATGAATTGTGGGGTGTCCAAAATGTTGAGAAATACAGGGTGAGCATATTGTTAAACTATTGGTTACATATTCCAAGTAATACGCTCTCTATGCTTTTCTTTAATATTCAGACTACCTTTTCACGGTTTGTCTCTACATTTAAAACAACAGGTTTTTGTTGTTAACCTGAAAAAATATATAATCAACTATAGCTGGGCCAAAAAGCTTGAAAAAATAAAGAAAATAGTATATTTAGGTACATTTTTCGAAATAACAATTAGACACTTTGCTTTAAATTTAGAAGTTGAAGAAAAATTTAGAAGTTGAAGAAAAAGAGCTGAAGAAAAAGAACACATTATTGCAATTTAAAAATAAATTCATTTTCTGTTTCCTGACTATCCACTATCACATGAATTAAAACCTAACAATGGAAACTTTTACATATATGCACATTATGGGAATGCTTTACTTATCAAATAGAGATAGGATTGAAGAATCATGATTTAATATTGATGAAGACTGATGTCATGTTGTTCTGCTCAGAGAGGCTACGAATATGTTAGTGATAAAAATCATCCTTTTCAGTTTTCCAGTATAATTTGATTAGAAGCCAAGCCTCAACATACTACCCAGGAAGGAGTTTTTGCTTGTTACCTGTGTGCTAACCATGGCTATGTTCTATTCAAGGATATATTTATAGAATGTGTACATCTTCTACCATAAGATTCAGAAAATTAATGTCAGTGAGTTTCATTAAGGTTTGTAACCATTGTAATGCCATCGTTCTCTCCTCTCGTCAGTGGTCTCTTCACTGTCAGCAGTTCTATGCCATGTTCATAAAGAGGGCTATGTTCTCCTGGCGCAACTGGAGTTTGTTGTTGATGCAGATACTGGGACTTCTGGGTGTTGTTTATTTTCTCATGAAAGGAATGGAGATTTCAAGAAATAAAATTGAACCTGCCAGGGAAATGGATTTGGAACAATATGGTCAAACCACTGTGCTTTTCTCAGATGATAACCATTCTGATTTTTCTCAGAATTTAACAAAAATTCTTGATATCATGCTAAAGGCTAAGAAACAAAAACTTCAGGAAGTGAAAGGTAAGGCTCTTTCAGAAAGAAAAAGACTGCTAATAGATGAAAACCTGCTTGTATCACTCGCAAAGAGAGGTCCTAACTGGAATATCATTGCTCTTTTCTTTCTTGAGACTCACCAATCTCACAAAGGCAGCCCAATCAGAGACAAGGATCATCCTTTAAGGAGACTGGCCACAAAACTTCATTATTAATGGAGGCACTTTGACCGTGGGTCATCTGAAAGCTATTAGCTACACCTTCTAGGGAATGAATTGAAGTACTAAAATATTTTGTTTTGTAAAATTTAAGACAAAATCTCACATAAAACCAGGCTCACAATGTGATACTAAATCCTAAAAGCCTTTGCACAAGTCTCTAGATTAGCTATATTTTAAAACAAGTTAGGCTGAAGACTTTATGGGCAGGCTTAAGTATTTGGAAGGCAGTGATAATAATTGATTCCATGTACTGAATACTACCTTTGGCAAGAACTTTTCTAAATATTTCAATTATCTCAATTTCTATAACAAACATACTTGCTTGAGGCTTAGAGATGTTAACTAAGTTGCCCCAAATAATGTATCTAGTATGTATTAGAGGAGGGACTAGATTTTAGGACTACCTGGTGGGAGTCTGCAATATTAACCCACTCACTACACTAAATCACATCTGTAAGGAGCAAATACCGTCTTTCAAGGCTGATCATTTCCTTACAGGTGTTTGCATTTCCTTCAGCTATTGCCTTGTTGACTATTGGTTTAGGTTAGCATAGAGCCTGTGCAGTTTGGCAGGTTTTTTCTCTTTTATCCTTTAGGTTCCACTGTCGGAGATGAAAATGCACTGCGAAATGTTGGTTATTACTTCTATCATAATCCTGATTTTACAACATGCACATTATAGGTTGGGTGGTATAAAAGCTGTGATTAAATCACATATCCCTTTTCTTCCTCCATGACAGGAGTAATAGATGAACACTTATTGTCAAAGATCACATAGTTTAGGAGAGAAGAGGGGAGAGAAAAGGGAGAAATTAATTACTGTAATGCATAATGTGGTTCCTTTTCTACTATAGTGTGTTGTTCATACAAAATAAAGACTGTACCTCACAGATATATCAGTAGTAATGTTTCAAATGGCAAGATTGCATTCCTTTTTCATGCTGAGTAATATGCATGTGTGTATCTATCATATACATGTATATATGTTGTATATATATCTACTCTTCATCTGTTCGTCTGTCACCGGACACTTGGGTTGCTTCCATAATTTGGCAATTGTAAATAATTCTGCAGTGAACAGAGGGGTTTCAAATTAGTGTTTTTGTTTTCCTTGGGTCAGTACCCAGTAGTGGAATCACTGGATCATATGGTATTTCTATTTTCAATGTTTTGGGGAACCTCCATACCATTTTCCACAGTGGCTGTACCAGTTCATATTCCCACCAACAGTGCACAAGTGTTATCTGTTCTCCACATCCTCATCAAAATCATCCTAACTCTATTAATAGAATAGAGTTCTTGGGTTGGATGGTCAAGATGTGTCAGAGCTGTTGTGAGACACTGGAAATAGAAAAAGTATCAGGCAAGTGAAATTATTGGGTTCTCCCTCTCCACACTGCATATTAAGTGATCTCTACCGCATGCTGAGCCTGTGGTCATTTGTTGTTTTCTCATTCCAGGTGACTTACAGACATACTTGCAGGACAGTCAAGAATGCATTTACTCGTGCATTATCGCAATTTCCTTTAGGGATGAAAAGGTAGTTACCCTTTGGTTCAACAACATGGCATACCATTCACCACCATTATCCCTGGCAGTATTTGACAATCTTCTTTTTATGGCACTTTCTGGCCCTGATGCTTCAATTACAGTCTCCAACAAACCTCAGCCTCAAAATATTGTTTCTAAAAAACTTGAGGGAAGGTATGTATGCTTTTTTATTGGGATTGAGCTTGGCATTTAAATATAGCCCTATTTCCCTATCTGAACACATTCTTTTTTTTTTCTGAACACATTATTAATAAAAAGTTAATTTTAAAAGTTAATAAAGTAATAAAATAAATAAAAATACAATTTATAATAAAAAGTTATTTTTAGAAACTATTATTTTCCACTTCATTATCTTACCAATGTGTCCTCTTTATTCATTCCTTTGTAGAAAAATGACAGGACAGCAGGTAGCCTTGAATTTGTTTTTTGGTGTGAGTATTTTTGTCAGTGGCTTTTGTCTTCTGACAGTGACTGAGAGAATCAATAAGGCAAAGCACATCCAGTTTGTGAGTGGGGTCTCTGCTATTAATTTCTGGCTCTCTGCTCTGCTGTGGGACTTCATGATCTACTTCATTGCCTGCTGCTTACTCTTGGTGAGTGTTAAAGTCCTTTGTGGGGCTTAGTTTCTGGTACATCCCAGAAAATTCTACTCAGCTAATATTAATTATCCTAATTAATATTAATATCTAAATCTCTCAAAAAAGAAAGAAATACTTTGTCACATTATATCAGGGAATACATTGTGGAATATGTCCCAGTGAAAATCTTTTCCTTTACATTCTTCTTTTAAAACAAAATGTTCTCGTTTGAAGAAACAACAGTCTTTTAAGATACCTTCCAGACATGCTTGCTCTCTAATATGTATTGACCCCACAGCTGCTACAAATATGGAAGGATTCGACCTGTTATACTACAACACCAGTCCCATATTAAACAAAGACAAATATTTTTATAAATACTTTTCTCCTCCCTCTAGTCATCTGATTGCACTGCAAGAATAGTAGTGGAATCACTGGATCATACGGTATTTCTATTTTCAGTGTTCTGGGGAACCTTCATACTGTTTTCCACAGTGGCTGCACCAGTTTGCATTCCCACCAGTAGTGTACAAGAGTTATCTGTTCTCCACATCCTCATCAGTAGCTATTTTGACATGTGTGAGGTAGTATCTCATTGTGGTTTTGATTTGTATTTCCTGGTGGACTATATTTTCTCAGTGAAATTAAGCTAAAAGGTGTGAGGTTTGTGTGGATTATTAATAGAACAGAGTTCTTGAGTTGAATGGTTAAAATGTTTGACTTTGTGCCATGGACCATTCAAATTTTATGCATGTGTTCGAGCATTTAAACATTGAATAGATAATGAAGAATTATTGAAACTCTTTTTTTTTTTAAGATTTTATTTATTTTTTTGACAGAGAGAGACTGCGAGAGAGGGAACACAAGCAGGGGGAGTGGGAGAGGGAAAACAGGCTTTCCGGGGAGCAGGGAGCCCGATGTGGGCGGGGCTTAATCCCTGGATCCTGGGATCATGACCTGATCCAAAGGCAGATGCTTAACAACTGAGCCACCCAGGCACCCCCGAAACTCTTATTATTGAAAGTAAAGTCAGGAGGATATTTGTGGTCTGTTTATACTTGTCACTTTCCTCATCTTTTCTACATCTGGCATCTCCGGGGCCATTCTTCTATGAGAAGGGCCAGTTAGATACTGCTGTGAAAGTTAAAGCAAACCCATTTGTTTTAAATGAGATGTAGGTCTTATAACACCCACTGCTCATGACAACACGTGCTGTCCTTAATACCCATTTCATTTGGTGTGCTCCCTCCTTGCCTCTGTGAATGAATCATTAAACACTACATAAGAAACTCTAACGATGTAATATTGAGTAGCTAACTGAACATAATAAAAAAAAAAAGAATTAAAAAGATAAAATAAATTTAAAAATAAATGAGATGTGGGGCTCGGAGGCCAGTTTCACTGGCTCCCATGTCATTAGAAAACTGGATCATTGTTCATGGTGCTCTAGGGTTGGAAGGTTATAACTTTTGGTTCTGAGGAGGAGTGAAGCTCCTGTGCAAACTAGAACAGATTTAAAAGAAATTGGAGGCTGGAAGTGGTGGGGAGAGCACTTCATGAATACAGAGAGCTTTTATTTAAAAATTTTAAGGAGACACACGATATGAGCACTGGTGTTATACTGAACTGATGAAATCATTGAACATTATATCAAAAACCAGTGATGTACTATACCTTGGCTAATTGGATTTAAATAAAAATAAATAAATAAAAGTAAAATATATATAAATTTTTTTTAAAGACTTTATTTACTTGGGAGAGAGAGAGAGAGAGAATAAGTGAGAGATAGACCACCAGTGGGGGAGAGGGGTAAGGGAGAGGGAAAAGCAAACTCTCTGCTGAGCAGGGAGCCTGACCTGGGGCTCAATCCCAGCATCCCAGGACCATGACCTGAGCCAAAGGCAGATGCTTAAGTGACTGAGCCACCAAGGTACCCCAAACATGCACATTCGATTAATTACTGTCAGCGGAAGTTACTGCTTTTACCACTTTCCTGATAGTGCTAAGACCTTACAGCCTTGTCATTCCAATGATGCTCTCCAACTTTTTGATTATGATAAGTCATTTTAATTTTACATATTTATCATACAAAATCTGCTATTTTTGTTACAATAAATATTGACTCATAATTTTTTCCATTGCTTTTGTTTCTTTTCTGAAGTTTTATCTGGGATCATTTTTCTCTTCCTGAAGAACTTCCTATGATATTTCTTTTAGGAAAGTTTGAACTTCTAAAACAAAACAACTTGTAGATTTTGTTTGGAAATAATTTCATTTTTCTATCCTTTGAAGAATATTTTGCTGGGTTTCCCCCCTGCTCTTTAGTGACGCTGTTCCCTTGTCATGGCTTGCTTCATCATTTTTCAATAAGGAGTCAGCTGTCAGACTTCTTACATTTCCTTGGAAAGTAATATGTCTTTTTTGCACTGTTTTCTTCCACTGTTCTTCCTTTGAGGTAGGTTTAGCATTCTTACTGTAATGTGCTTAGCTTTCTTTGCGTTTACCCTGCTTGGTGTGTTCAAAGCTTCCTAAGTCTAAAGGTTGGTGTCTGTTATCCGTTTTGTAAATTTCCTGGTAATTCCCTTACTTTGCCCCATCTTCCTTCTCTTTTTGTTCTCTGTTTGCACGTGTATTGTTTCTTTTCATTGTGTCATGGATGTCTCAAGCACTGTTCTCTTTATTTCCCTTTTTTTCTTCTCTACTTTGTATTTCTTGGTGTATTTTCTATTGACTTCTTTTCCAATTTATCAATCCTACCTTCTGCCTCCATCTACTCAATGTTAAACCTGTCTAATGAGTTCTTAATTTCAGATTTGTGTTCCTCAGATATAAAACTTCCAGTTAATTCTTTTCTTTTAAAAAAAGATTTTATTTATTTATTTGACAGAGATCACAAGTAGGCAGAAAGGCAGGCGGGGGTGGGGGGAACCAGTTAATTATTTTCAAAAATTTAAATTATCTTGTGACATTCTTCATCTATAAACCTATGCTCTCTGCTTTTTTATTTTCTCAGACATAGTCAACATAGTTCTATTAATTTTCTTATGAGTAACTTCATATCTGGATCATATTCTGTGTATAATTCTTTAGCAGTAAGAATAGGACAGTTAAAGAAATAGAAAAAAAAGAGAAAGAGGTTAGAACTGGTATATCATAAAAGAAGATACCCAAGTGGCCCATAAACATATGGAAAAGCATCAATTGCATTAATTATTGAGAAAATATTTAGCAAAAACATAATGATAAATGTTTTCAACAAGATAGCATAGGAGGAAATCCCAAGTCCTCTCTCCCCTGTGGAGGAAAAAAGAAAACAAGTGAAATTCAACCAAGTTTATAGTAACTCTAGAAAACAGTCATAGGTCTGTGCCCCAAACAAGAAAATGTCACATTCAAAATGACAGGAATTTCATAGCATATTTATGGGCTCTTGACTCAGCCTGTTCCTAGTGTAGCACAGTCTTGGTCTGGAGGATATAGCAGTCCAGTTGCCAGCTGTCTGCTGAAGTGGAAGAAATAGAACAGACCTTCCTTATTTTCAACATTTTGGCCCGTCTAGAGGCTGCAAGAAGGGCTGCTCTCTTTCTTGTCTAAGATTTTAGGTATGGAAAAACAATAGTAGCTACTGGCTGTGAACCTGCAGGGGTACCACAGACCTGAAGATGTCTGGAAGAAAAAATGAGGAGTTGAAACATAAAATAGACTGCCTAAGGCTTCAAGGAGAGCCTAGTGTAAGGCCCTGGGAAATGAAGACATTTCAAAGCAGCTCTATATGTAAGGGAGGGAATCAAGAAACAATACGTGGGCCGAGATAGTGCACATGCTCATGAAGACCTGAGAATGCTTTAATCTTGATGGTATAGGAATGATCCCTAGTCCCAGAACTGCTCTGACAGTGTCAGTACAAGGATTGGAAGAGGTGGCTGATATTTTAAATACCCGAGTTTATACAGCAACATCATAAGGCCTACAAATAAACAGGAAAATATGGTCTATTCAAGGGAAGAAAATTCAACGACAGCAACCATCCCTGAAGTACAAACAGGGGAGCTGCTAGACAAAGACTTAAAACTACTGTCTTAAATAAGTGGAGGAAGTTAATTACCACTAAACCTACCCCACGAGAAATGCTAAAGGATTCCTTCAGGTTGAAATGAAAGAATGCTGGACAGTAATTCAAATAATGTAAAGGTCTCCAGGAAAGGAAATACAAAAACTAGTTGTCTTAGTCAGCTCTGACCACTCTAACAAAATAGATATGGTGGATTACATAGCACAAATTTATTTTCTCACAGTTCCAGAAGCTAGGAAGTCCAAGACCAAGGGGCATTTGATTTGATTTTCCAATGAGGGCTCTCTTCCTGGTTTGCAGATGACGCTCTTCTCACTGTGTCACACATGGCAGAGAGAGGAGAGAGGGAGAGGGAGAGAGAGAGCAAGAAGGAAAGGGAGAGGGAGAGAGCAAGAGCGAGAGCTCAAGAGCCTGCTTTCACATTTCTTATTGTAAGGACACTATCCCATCACAGGACCCCACCCTCAGGGCCTTGTCTTAACCTGATTACATCCTAAAGGCCACACCTCCAGATATCAGCACAGTGGAGATTAGGGCTCAAAAATACTAAGCTTCCAGCATTGAAGATAAAGGAAGCTGCCTTGAGCTGAGTGATACAAACAGCCTCTGGAGTCTTGAAAAGGCAAAAAAATGGAATTTCTTCTAGAGCCTCCAGAAGGAATACAGTCATGTGGGCTTTTTTTTCTTAGTCTAGTGAGAACCATTCCAAAACTATAAGATAACTTTGTGTTGTTTTAGCCACTAATTTGTGAATTTGGTACAACAGCATTAGAAAACAAATACAGAGGCTACTATATACCTATCAGAATAGCTAAAATCTAGAAAGCTAAAATACCAAATATGGATAAGAATTTAATGCAGTGGAGGGGGCAGTTATTACTGATGGGAACATAAATTGGTCCAGTTACTTTGGTAAACAATTTGGCATTTTCTTCTAAAACTTTGAAGATATATGTATACATATATATACACACACACATACAATATGTATATATGGTGTATATATCTAAAACTTTTTTAGATATATATATCTAAACTTTATATATATTCTAAAACTTTGAAGATATATATATATGATATATATATATATGATCTCCAATGCATATATATGTGCAGCAAGAGACATGTACAAAGAGGTTTTTCAGAATGCTACTCATAATAATAAACAATAAACATGGCAAACAACTCAAGTATTTATCAAATATAACGGATGAATAAAAGTGATACAATAATAACCTAGAATACTAAAGAGCAATGAAAATGAACTGCCACACTAGGCAACAGTGGGATGAATTTCACAAATACAATGTTAGCAAAAGAAGCCAGGTAGGAAGAAGTACATACTATATAGTTCCATGTATAGTTGACAAATAGAAGTAGTATTTAGGGATGTTTTTGTTAAAACTGTAAAGAAAAGAAGGAAAGTAATTATCATAGAGGTCGGGATAGTGTTGACCTTCACAGAGGAGGGAGATGTTGTGCCTTGAGTTGCATTGGTGTCTTTGGTAATTTTCACAGCAGTGTTTGTTTTGTAATATTTGAGTGATCTGTTCATCTGTATTTTGTACAATTTTGAATGTGTTACATTTCAAAATAAATTTCACTTGATAATTATTTTTAGAGACTGTCTACAAAAGTTTTTTTAAGACCCAAGATAAAATAAATTACAATGCTCATTCTGGCTATTTATATGCCTGATTTAAAAGAAACTTCCATGGGGCACCTGGGCGGTTCAGTCAGTTAAGTGTATGGCTTCAGCTCAGGTCATTGTCCCAGGGTCCTGGGATCGAGCTCCATATGGGGCTCCATACTCTGCAGAGTCTGCTTCTCCCTCCCTTTCCCCCTGCTTATACTATCTCTCTTTCTCAAATAAATAAATAAAATCTGTAAAAAAATGATAAAATATTCAACTGAATATCTTATTGATATTTTTGTTTATAGACTAATTTGGGGAATAGCTGCATTCTTACAATGTTGAGTCTTCCTACCTAAAAATGTACATTTTATAATTAGTGAAATCCCTAAACATCATAAATCTTTCAACAACAAAAAAAAACCTAGATCATTCAAAATTCTAAATGAGTTATTTACATTCACTGCATTTCTCTTGAGACTGAAAGTCTGTGATGACAGAAACAAAGTAGCCAGCCCATAATTCCCAAATATTTTCATCTATGCTATGTTTGTTTGTTTGTTTACTTATTTTTGCTGCTTTTTCTACTACCACTGAGAACCTGCTTTCAATCACTGGTAGCTATTCTCAACTTAATCCTACCATACTCTTCTCAAGGTTCTTGCTACATAAATATTTAATAGCTCAAAATAAATGATTCTGGAATATTTGGAGAAACCACAGTTTTGACAACTTATAAGATGTCGATTTCTGGAGATATATTTTCTGTAACAACTCTCTGTAACAGATTCTCTGTTCCCCTTCTTAGATCCCCTCTACTTTTGAGTTTCCCTGTGTGCTTCTCAACTGAGTGGCTGACATGGGGAAAGGAGGAGTGGGAAAACAGAGTAGAGTCAACAGGCAGAATCTAAAAATGGAGAGCCATGAAAGGCACGTCCTTAGCATTACAGTTTACATCTGCCAGAACGTAAATCTTAAAAAAAAAAAAAAAAAAAAAAAAAGTTTTTTCTCCTAGGTGATCTCATTTCTGGGAATACTGAGAATTTGGTTTACTTGGTGTTAGAGGAAGGAAAAGAAAGAATATACTTTGATCTTGTTCAAGGAGAACAAAATGAAACTTTCAAGTAGATGAAAACAAGGAGAATGGCAATTAGAGGAGATGTGTTCACCTGAGGGAGAAGCAGAAGAACCTCAATAGCCAGGCTCACAGACAAAATTGTTTGGTTAATAAAATACTTAGTGTTCTAACAAAGGAAGACTTTTCCCCTTTTCTAAGTTATTAGACTGAATTCGTAGTCATTGCATAGTTTTCTCCACTTAGACTTTACTTGTGTACTCTCTGTCTCAGGTGGTGTTCCTGTTATCTGGATTGGATGAACTGACCAAGAATTACCGCTTTCTAGACACATTGATCATCTTCATGCTGTTTGGCTGGTCTGTCATTCCCTTCACGTACCTGATAAGTTTCCTTTTTTCTAGTCATACCAGTGCCTACATCAAGCTTGTGATGTTAAACTACTGTGCAGGAGTTTTCGGCATAGTACTGGAGGTAGTAATAACTACAACGTCAGGTAAGGACATCACACCATTTCCCCCATAAATAAAGAAATACGGTCTTGAAGATAAGAACAATACAAAGTTATTTTGTTCTGGATTTCTGGGAAAACTTACACTGCTTGTAAGTTAATAATCTTTTGTTAAGTGTCACAGATGTTATAGGCATTATGTTGGGGGCAATGCAAGACAAATTAAGACACTACATTTTCACTAACCCAGTCCTTCAGTCCATTGGCCCAGGCTCAGTACAATATTTATTATTTCATTTTCCTCCTTTGACTTTAAGATTATGGAGAGATTGATTGGACTGGCAATGATGGCAAAGAGAAGTTTCATAGAGCACAAATGTTGCCACTACTTTATTAAATGACCCTGTGAACATTAATTAGATCTGTTTTAAGTAATTCAGCCATACTAGGTCTTGCAAAGACTGAGAGGAAGAGGCTTCTAACCCATTTACTGACCTTGGGCCTTGCCCTCCCACAAAAGAATTCCCTGAGATAGTTGGAAACCTATCTTAATACTCCTTGCACACCTCTTCAATGAGTAATATTAAGCCACATGAAGAAGAATTGATCTCTGAATAATAGACTAAGAAACATGTAGAAGAATTTATACTGTGGTGCTCATTTACTGAGTTAGTCACATTGCTGTCAATTAGTTTCTGTGTTAGTTTTCTATTGCTGCAGTAGCAGGTCACTGCAAACTTAGTAAATTATACAAATGTATCATCCTACAGCTCTGTAGATGAGAAGTCTATCAGAGGGTACATTGGGCTAAAATCAAGTTGGCTGGGCTGCAAGGCAGCATCCCTCTCAGAGGTCTTTTTATTTTTATTTATTTATTTTTATTATGTTCAGTTAGCCACCATATAGTACATCATTAGTTTTTGATATAGTGTTTGGTGATTCATTAGCTGCATATAACATCCAGTACTCATCACAAGACGTGCTCTTCTTAATACCCATCACCCTGCTACTCCACTCCCAGACCCCCTCCCTTCTGTAACCCTCAGTTTGTTTTCCAGAGTCTATAGTTCCTCAGGGTTTGTCTCCCTCTCTGATCAACCCACCTTCAGTTCTCCCTCCCTTCCCCAATGGTCCTCTGTGCTATTCTTTATGTTCCACACATTAGTGAAACCATGTGATGATTGTCTTTCTCTGCTTATTTCACTTAGCATAATCCCCACCACTTCCATCCATGTCGATGTGGATGGTGGGTTTTCAACCTGTCTGATGGTTGAGTAATACTCCATTGTATATATGAACCACATCTTTTTTATCCATTCAGCTGTTGAAAGGCATCTCAGCTCTTTCCACAGTTTGGCTGTTGTGAACATTGCTGCTATGAACATTGGGGTGTATGTGCTCCTTCTTTCACTACATCTGTATCTTTGGGGTAAATACCTAGTAGTGCAATTTCTGGGTTGTCGGGTAGCTCTATTTTTAACGTCTTGAGGAACCTCCATACTCTTTACCAAAGTAAAGCTTGCATTCCCACCAACAGTGTAAGAGTGCTCCCCTTTATCTACAACCTGCCAACATTTGTTTCCTGCCTTGTTAATTTGTGCCATTCTAACTGGTGTAAGGTGGTATCTCAGTGTGGTTTTGATTTGAATTTCCCTGATGACTAATGATGATGAACACTTTTTCATGTGTCTGTTAGCCATTTGTATGCCTTCTTCTTTTTTTTTTTAAGATTTTATTTATTTATTTGACCAAGAAATAAACAGCAGTGAGAGAGGGAATACAGGCAGTGGGAGTGGGAGAGAGAGAAACAGGCTTCCTGCTGAGCAGGGAACCTGGTATGGGGCTCAATTCCAGGACCCTCGGATCATGACCTGAGATGGAGGCAGATGCTTAACGACTGAGCCACCCAGGCACCCCACTTCTTTTTTTTTTTTAATTTTTTTTTCAGTGTTCCAAGATTCATTGTTTATGTACCACACCCAGTGCTCCATGCAATACGTGCCCTCCTTAAAACCCACTACCGGGCTTCTTTGGAGAAGTGTCTGTTCATGTCTTCTGCCCATTTTTTTACTTCGTTATCTGTTTTGGGGGTGTTGAATTTGAGAAGTTCTTTATGGATCTTGGATATCAGCCCTTTGTCTGTAGTGTCATTTACAAATATATTCTCCCATTCTGTGGGTTGCCAACATTCCCTTTCAAATCAATGTTACACCTAAGGCCCTAGTCAATGTAGTAATAGGTGAGAATAAAGAATGTGAAATTAGAAAAGAAACTGAACTCATTATTCAGAGATGATAAGAAAATCAGGAAACTATTTTCAGAAATATGGAGAATATAGAGAGAGGAAAACCAAAACAACAGATAGTAATTCTCCTTTTCTCTAAATCCTACAGAGAGAGTTAATTTTTGGTCATTACACACAAAATGGCCACACTGTTTATGATTGTATCCAGTTTGGTTGATTGGTATTCTACTCCTATTGGTTTGTACACAATCTGATCTGGAAGATAAGTATTTTTAAACATTATCCATGCATTTACAACCATTTTTTCCTCAGTTTTTGTATCCCTCCACACCCCATTCATATGGTATCTTTCAACAGTTTGTCAGCTAAGGAATCATATTACTTAAAAATTAAAAAAAAATTTTTTTATTAATTGCGTAAATTGATTTTTGTTTTTGTTACATGACAAAACTGAATCAAAACCAGTTATATTAGCATATTACTTTTCTTTATGTAGGAAGATTTTCCTCTACTCCTTAGAAATAAGAGGATATTTATAGGGGCGCCTGGGTGGCTCAGTCGGTTAAGCTTTAGCTCAGGTCATGATCCCAAGGTCCTGGGATCAAGCCCCACATCAGCCCTCCTATTCAGCAGAAAGCCTACTTCTCCGTTTACATCTGCTGCTCCTGCTGCTTGTTCTCTCTCTTTCTGTCAAATACATAAATAGATTTTTTTAAAAGAAGAAAAGAGAATATTTGTATTCTATGGAGAGAGGCTAAATACTTTTTAACATTAGCTCCTTGTTATTTTTGGCATCTATGCAGGGGGCCAGTCAGTGTCCAGAATTCTTTCTGGATACTAGATTATTTGCGTATACACCAATTGTTACCCTCTTTGAGGCAGGCTTGATATGACTTTACCAGTTAGAAAATTTATATCTTAGGAACTTCACTCATTCTCTGTCCTCCTTGGTTGACCATCTCACTTTTATCAAAGTGTCTTACAAAGATGTTTTTTGCCCAGGCATATCATCTTATATTTATTACCAACAGTCTGAGCTAAGTCTTGAAGTCCAACAATGACCTTTGTTAACTTAACTTGTAATTGTGTTGCCTATTCCTTCATATATAGTCTTCAACTATTATACACATTAAATTAATATTTAAAGAAACCTCAGTGAGCTTTAAACTTGGTTCTCTGAAGATGTATCTCCTTTCAGCTGATAAAATATTTATCTCTTTCCTACTATTGTCATATGCTGACTTTCCCACCACAACTTTGTTTCTTTATTCATCCATGATAAGAAAAATGATAAGATAAGATAAGAAAAATGAGAAATTAGTATGCATTTCCTATTCACATCAGGTGACAGAGGACAGGTTATATGGACATCAACTTTGCAGAGGATTTTCCAGTGCTGTAATTATCAACATAAACTATGCTACAAAACATATACTTAGTGGCAAGAAGTGAGAGTTTTGTGAGGATAATAATATAGCTTTGTAATTTTCTCCATTTAATTCATTGGAGACATTTTGTTTTCCTGGGGCAATTCATTTTGTATAAAGGATGCTAATGTTATCTTTTTAATCACAAAGGACCTGATTCTGAGAGCCTTCTACTTGACTCATTGATGGTGTTACCCATATATAACTTTGGGATGAGCATCAGTAAATATTTTCATAACCAAAATACAAGGCTGCTGTGTTCCTCAAAAGACGTTCCTGCCTTTGTAAATTGTAGTAAAGCAAGTGAGTATCTGGGACTTGTCAGACACCACTGGCCTATTACTTATTTGACATACATAGCTCTACCTTTATTATTTTGAATCTTCACAATGACCATCAAGTTATGTGTTGTTATATTCACTTTGAGGAAACTAAAGTTTATATAAAATTGAGTAACTTACTCTGTCGCACAATTTGTACGAGTTAGAGCTAAGATTCAAAACTTTAGCATAATGCATTTTCTCATGGGATAGAATCTCCATGGATGAATGGATAAAGAAAATGTGATACATACGCATATATGCATATACTATATACACACATACCCACACACTCACACACACACACACATATATATATATATATGAATTTAGAACCTTGTAATTATTACTTTTTTCTCATAAGCAATTGAAAAAGTGTCAGCCGTTTAGCACTTCCAACTTAGATTAAATGTTAGTATTCCCTTATAGGTAAGAGTGTTTGCATATGTAGCATATTCCAGGTGATTCTACTGCCACTGCTCCATATTTTCAGACCCACCATCTGAAGTAGTTTCAAAGGAAATGTATTTTGGGGCAAGGAAAGCCTCTGTTGCTACCCACTACTCTGATTAGTGTGAACAGGCATTCACCCAAAGGTTCTGGCTATATGGCACCATATTGATAATGGATGCCTAGAACTATAGCAAGACAAAATTCATGGAATTAAAGGATCTTGAAGATATTTTGCATGACATATAAAGTCATCAAACATACCACTAAATATAGTATTTTGTGCTTATTTGATAATCATTCTATTTGATTCTGTGGTACTTCCAGTTTGTTGACATCTTAGAGTTTTCTTATTGAAATAATTTTTTTAAATAAACCTGTATCTTTTCCTTTGTCATTGACATCAGTAACTCAGATGAATGTATATGGTTTGGAAAAAGATGCAATAGGAAAATTTTTAATTGCGATGGCTGTTTTGGGATTTATTTTCTTCGTCTTGATTTTCCTTATGGAGACCACCTCATGGAAAGTGAAAACCTTTGTGTTTCGCTATATTTTCTTTGGTATCTACAAGAAATTTAATAAGGTAAGTACCTGGCTATGGATCTTAGGGATGGATATCTCTAAGACCAAAAACATGTCTCCACACATGCCGAATTCTGTTATTGAATATAGAAATATAAATCAATCTATGTTGATTGAAATCCATGTTAATCAAAGATCTTCATCGTAATTTGAACTTTGTGGTTTCTAAACATTCTGAGCTTTGCCAGTCAAAATATGGTATTTTTTATAATTTTATTATAATAGAAAGCTTTCCTTTGAACATCTCTTATCAGAGGGCCATTTCCTCCCAAAGTGCTCATGCACCCTAATTTGGTCCCTAGCTATTTAACAAACTCCCAGGTGGTATTGATTCTGCCAGCCTACAGAATGCACACTTGATAGTAAGGCTCTATAGCAGTTGCTCTCAAAATCTGGCATTTACCAGATTCTCCTGGAAGTCTTCTTAAAATACAAGTTGCTGGTCTCTGCTCCATGAGTTGCTGATCTTGTGGACCTTAGGTAGGGCCTGAACTTGCATATGTAATAGATTTTCAAGTGGTGCTTCTGCAACTCCTTCATGCTTTGAGAACCACAGTCTGAAGTGTTTTCAGAAGAAAGAATATTTTGAGGCAAAAGGAGCCTCTCTGTTATCAAAATAGATGAAATTGCATGACTGTCCCATAAGCTTAGACTTCAGTCCAAAGTCTTACTATGCCAATGTGGTCTTTCTTCACATTTGCCAGTACAGGTCTGACTCCATAGGTAATCAAGACACAATGTACATGAGTAAGGTATGAATGATGGCACTAATGGAGGCATAAAAGGCAGAGAATATCCCAGAATTGCCTCCAGAAGTGGGGAAGATGCTGAGCAAAGGCTCAGCTAAGGTGTCATCAGTAGAGCCAGCACCTGGTGTCCAGATCTTAGAGTGTCTCCTATTCAGCTGAGCCATTAATCTGCAAGATTCCATAGGGAATTTCTCAGTGGGTAGGAAAAGCCCAAGAACTGAAGGGTCAGGTCCAGTGAACACGCAAAAAGCTTGTTAGCACCAGCAAAGTCCAACACCCAAGGCTGAGGTCATACATTCCAAAGATATGCCTCAGGTACCTACTATGTACCTGGTATCATACTAGATGTTGGACAGGTCTCAGATTCCTGGGAGAGGCCCAGGAGGAACAAACAGATTCCCAGACTTGGAAGAGAGGGTAAGGGAGACCTCCACAGAGATGCAAGAGAAAGGGTTTCAAGACAGGGACCAAATCAGAGTTCAGACAAATACAATCCAAAAAATATGTGCTCTAATAAACAGAAACCCAAAATACTGTAAATGCATCTAGGTGTCACGAAACCAAGCTTTGGGCATTGGGTGACACTTGAGAAAGTGAGTCCAAGGCATAGAGGTCAACTTATGAACGGACAAGGAGCTGGAAAACATTCAAGGAGCTATTATTATGTCTGGAGCCAAGGTGTTGGAAGGCAGGGCAGGATGACTGCAACAAATAATACATTATATGTCAAAAAAAGAAAAAAAGTGATGTGGCTGAGCTGGGAAAGGCCTCCAAAGTGCCATGCTAAGGATCTTGAACTTCATTCTGAGGGCAGTCGAGTTTTGGGAATGAGGAATTTAAGGGCAAAATTATATGGACTTGGGATTTTCTTTGAGGGAAAATTTGTAATAAGAGTTTCAAATTATATAACATTGGAGTGTGCAGGTTTTCTATTCTTTTCTCATTTTGCACTTTTCAAGGAATGTGCCAGTTTCATCTAAATCATCAAATGTATTGACAACAATCTGTTCACAGTGTTCTTCTGTTTTTTTCTTTTTTTTAAAGATTTTATTTAGTTATTTGACAGACAAAGATCACAAGTAGGCAGAGAGGCAGGCAGAGAGAGAGAGGAAGGGAAGCAGGCTCTCCGCTGAGCAGAGAGCCCGACGCGGGGCTCGATCCCAGGACCCTAAGACCATGACCTGAGCCGAAGGCAGAGGCTTAACCCACTGAGCCACCCAGGCGCCCCTGTTCTTCTGTTTTGTTCTTAATATCTGTTAGTAGTTTGTAGTTTTTCTGCTCCCCCAACCTTGTTTTCTTAATTACTCTTAGTAGGTGTTTAACCAATTAATCTCTCCGAAGAACCAACTTTTGAATTTTTTACTTCTCTGTTATATGTTTTGTTTTCTATTTTATTGATTTATTTTCTTACCTTTATTTTTCTGTCTTGCTGTCTTGTGAGGCCATAATAACTTAGAGAATAATAGCTATAAATAATGCTACAAAACAGAAAAATTACAGATGAATTGTGCTTATGGACACAGATGCAAAAATCCTTCACAAAAATGTTAGTTTGAATTCATCACCTGGTAAGGTTTATTACAGGAATGCAAGCATAGTGTAACACTTTATTTTTTCTTAATTTTTTTTTTAAGATTTTTTTTTTTTTATTCATTTGACAGATAGAGATCACAAGTAGGTAGAGAGACAGGCAGAGAGAGAGGAGGAAGCAGGCTCCCCGCTGAGCAGAGAGCCCGATGCGGGGCTCGATCCCAGGACCCTGGGATCATGACCTGAGCCAAAGGCAGAGGCTTTAACCCACTGAGCCACCCAGGCGCCCCAATTTTTTCTTAATTTTTAACTTAAATTCAATTTAAGTTAACAGTGTAACACTTTAAGTCACCATACTAATAAAACATAATTCACTATATTAATAAGAAAAATCAGAAAAATAATTACAACCCTGAGAGATTCAGAAAAAAGATTTGATAAAATTGTATTTCTTATAAAATTCTTTAGCAAACCAAAACCAGAAAGGAACTTCCTTAGTATGGTAAAAAGTAACCACAAGAAAAATCTACATCAAATAATATGATTTTTTTAAAAGATTTCATTTATTTACGTGACAGAGAGAGAGCACAAGCAGGAGGAGTGGCAGGCAGAGGGAGAGGGAGAAGCAGGCTCTGCACTGAGCAGGGAGCCCACTGCAGAGCTCGATCCCAGGATCCTAGGATCATGACCCAAGTTGAACAATGTTAGATTAGTTTCAAGTGTCCACATAGTAAGTTCACAAGTTTATATGTTATGCTATGCTTACCACAAGTGTAGCTATCATCTGTCACCATACAACACTACTGCAATACCATTAACTATATTCCCTATGCTATACCTTTTATTCCCTTTTATTCCATTTTTAAATTCCATTTTTATCCAATTTATTATAGGTATTAATGCAATAGGGCAAGAAAAAAAATGATAGGCATAAAATTGTAAAAATTTAAAAATTCATTATTTACAAATGACAGCATTGTGTACATAGTTAAAGGAATGAAGTGTTAAAATTAATATTGCTAAATACAAAGTCTGTATAGAAAAATCAGTTATATATCCATATATAAGCCACAAACAAGTGAAATGTAAAATGTTGTTATTCAAATAACATAAAAAGAAAAAAATATCTAGGAATAAGTCTAACAGAATTTATACAAGACCTTTATATGGAAAAGTACAAAACACTATTGAGAGATTGAAGAAGACCTATAAATCAAGGAATACCACGTACTTGCTTTGGAAAACCCAATATTGGGAAAACGATAGTTTTTTCCCAAATTGATCTAAAGATTCAAAACAATTCCAATCAAAATGCTAGTGGGTATTTTTGTGTGTGCATGTTTATGTGTGGAAAATGATCAGCTGAGTCTAAAATTTGCATGGAAATGCAAAATGTCAAGGATAGCCAAGGAAGTGTTGAAGGAGAACAAAAGTAGTGCACTAATACTACCATATATAAGTATTTTTTGTAAACTGTAGTAACTAAAACAGACAAATAAAACAATGTATTAGAAAAATAATTTTCCTTAAGGGGTGGTTATTTGTAGTAGCTTGGAATTTTTCATTTTTAGAAATGCAAGTTCTTGGGGCACCTGGGTGGCTCAATGGGTTAAAGCCTCTGCCTTTGGCTCAGGTCATGATCTCAGGGTCCTGGGATTGGGCCCGTGTTGGGCTCTCTGCTCAGCAGGGAGCCTACTCCCCTCCCCCCACGCCTGCCTCTCTGCCTACTTGTGATCTCTGTCTGTCAAATTAAAAAAAAAAAGGGGGGGGAAATGCAAGTTCTTGGGCCCCACCCCAGACCTACTAAAATCAGAAGTTTTTGGTTTTATTTTATGTTTTATAAGCCATCCAGCTGATTCTGACACATGCTAAAATTCAAGAACAAATGGAATAGAATTTCTAGAAATAGATGCATGTGAATAGAAATATGTGGTCACTGATGTATGACAACATTGACACATAATGCAGTGGAGAAAGGATATTCTTTTCAATTAGTGGTGCTGATCCAGTTGGTTATCCACATTGAGAATAATGAAGTTGACTCCTGTCTTACTCTGTACAAATCATTTCTAACTTACAACTTTTCTGTAGATCTAAATGTGAAAGGTAAAATAATAAACTTTTAGGACAAAAACATAGCAAATACCTTCATGATAGTGAGGGCATCATTATCAAAAGACATCAAGTGAATGAAAAGGCAAGTCACCAACTGGAAAAAGATTTTTGAATTGATAATCAGTAAGAAAAAGACAGAAAGCCCAATTTAAAAGTGGGCAAAAGACTTGGGACACTGACTTTACAGAAAAGAATATCCAAATATGCAATAAATTTATGTAAAAATTCACAACATCAGTAGTCATCAGTAAATGCTAATAAAAGCCACTAAAGGACACCAAATCATACTCATAAAAATAGTAAGTGCTGAGGCTGCAGAATGACTAGAAATCTCAAAACACTGGTGTTGGGAATATAAACTGATAACTCTTTAGAAAACTGTCTTGCATTGCATTCTAATATATTGCCTTCATATGTTTATGAAAATGAGCACATACCGAGACCCAGAAGCTCCCCTTCTAGGTATAAATCCAACAGAAATGCACACTCATGTTCACCAAAAGACACTTACAAGAATGTTCACACAGCATTATTCATATAGACCCCCTTTAAAAAAGAGAGAGAAGCAGACCATATGTTTGTCAGTCATATAATGGGCATTAGGGGAAAGAAGGGAAAACTGAAGTGGGGGAGAAATCAGAGGCGGACATGAATCATGAGTGATTATGGACTCTGGGAAACAATCTGAGGGTTTCAGAGGGGAGACAGGTAGGGGGGAATGGGTTAGCCTCATGATGGTTATTAAGGAGGGCATGTGTTGTATTAAGCCCTGTGTGTTGTACACAAAAATGAATCATGGGATGCTACATCAAAAACTAATGATGTACTGTATGATGACTAACATAACATAACAAAAGAAATGTCTGTTCTCACAATAGAATATAGCAACAAGAAGAAGCAGGCTATAACTCATATGGAACAGCATGGAATAATAACACAACTATAATATTGCCCCCAAAGAAGCCAGACACAGAAAAGTTACATAAAGTAGAATTCTGTTAAGAGAAAGAGACAGTCAGACCAAGAAACAGACTCTTAACTATAGAGAACAAACTGACAGTCACCAGAGGGGAGGTTGGTGGGTGGAATGGGTGAAATAGGTGAAGGGGATTAAGAGTACACATCACAATGAACATAAGTCATATGTAGAATTGTCAAATCACTATATTGTACACCAAAAACTAATTTAAAACTGTGTGTTTACTGGAATCAAACTTAACTTAAAAATTAAAAAATAAAGTAGAATTCCGTTCATATAAATTTCAAAAACAGACAAAACTAATATATAATATTTGGAGTTACAAGTCAGGATTCCAGTTACTGTTGAGGTAATGCTCTGTTTTCTTTATCAGGGGTGGTTACATAAATATGTTCACCTTGTGAAAAATCATTAAGATGTAGGTTTATGATTTATGCACTTGTCTGGATATGTTGTGCTTTAAAAGTTTAGACTAAAAGTGGCATTAAAATTATTCAGCATATTTTGCACTAAACTACAATAAAATCTGTAGTTCCTAGAATTGAACCAATGTTAATTTCTTTATTTTGATCAGTGTACCGTGACTATGTAAGGTGTTAACATTAGAAGGCTAAAATGCATACTGGAATTATCCTGTGTTTATAATTGTCCATAAATCAAAATTTTTTCAAAACAGGAAGTTAAAAATTAAAGTAGAGTAATGGACAAATCTTAGATTATTCTTTCATACTCTTTCTACCATGTGGAATGCCCTGCCCTTTTTTCTCCCTTCCCATTATAAGTCTCCTAATTAACTCCTATTTATTTTTTTAAATTCAGTTTATTTACCTTGTGAAATGGTCCTTGGATTCCACTCTTCCTCTCAGAAAAGAAAGAGTTAATCTTCCCTATTCTTAATTCTATTGATATCTTATAAAATAAATGTAATTAGCAAATAGTATTTGGTTATAATTTATAGTGTGTGTTGTGGTTCCAGTTTTTTTCCCAAGATTTTATTTATTTATTTGAGAGAGAGAGAGAGAGAGCATGAGAGGAGAGAGGTCAGCAGGAGAAGCAGACTCCCTGGTGAGAAGAAAGCCTGATGTGGGACTTGATCCCGGGACTCCAGGATCACGACCTGAACTGAAGGCAGTCACTTAACCAACTGAGCCACCCAGGAGCCCATGGTTCCAGTTTTTGATTAAGTGTCCATTTTGATAGGAACAAGCTACTTGCTCATGGGTAGGAGTATAGTTTTCAAACTTCGGAAATAGGGGATAGGTTTATATATGACAGTGTGACAGGTATGTAGGAAGTTTTTTGGGAATGATTTGAAATTTCTGTTCTGACATCTTTGAGATAAATCCCCAGTTAAGCCTTCCTGAAGCCAACCAGTTATCTAGACCTGATGTCTAAGAGGTCTCCATTTCTGTGATGCTGTTTTTGAAAATATAGGAAATAGTGTCCACAGAATTATCTGGGGAATCTGAAGATGATGATGTGCAATATGAGAGAAACAGAATCCTGGAGCAACCTCAGGAATCCCTGAATTTCACAGTACTTATTAAGGAACTCACAAAGGTAATATTGTTCAATGGCCAATTTATGATTTCATTCCTATTAAAGATCATGTCATTAGCATCAAGGGCTCACTGTGGTCTTCTGAATCTGTGTGTATTAGTCCAACAGAGTAGGAGAGTTTTTGTGAAGTTGTCTGAGGTCCAGAGTGGTTCATAGGGGTCTGATGTATTTTTAAAATTTAACCTATAAATATCCTTTGCTATATTGTGCTTTCTGTATTTTTTAAGATATACTTTACATGTCCAGCTGTTTTGGCTGTCAGAAATATCTCCCTTGGAATCCAAAAGAAGGAATGCTTTGGATTGCTTGGATTAAATGGAGCTGGAAAAACTACTACCTTCAAAATATTGACTGGAGAAGAGACTGCTACCTCTGGGGATGTGTTTATTGAGAACTTAAGTATCACCAAAAATCTTCTAGAGGTAAGACACGATTACTATCTGAGATGTGAGTAGCATGATTACTTGGGGGAGAGATAAGAGGAAAGTAGTGGAAAGTGATAGGTAGGAATCATGGCAGTTATCGATATTGATACTGTTGACTCAGCCAGTGGATTTCAGAGGGAGAAATACATTTTTGAGGGAAGTGATAGGATAATAAGAGCAGCCTTACTCTGAGAATCTAAGACAAGAGTGTCTTTACTGTTCTTTGAAACTACTGGAGAATGAGATGGTGAAATAGGAGGCTCCTAACTTTCCCTCATTCCATGGATACACTGAATAAATAGTTACACAGAGATCATTTCCTTCTGCAAGAAATCCAGAAATGAATTGGGAGATTCTTACACATCATACAATTGAGGAAATACTCACATAAAAAAGGGTAGGATAAGTTGGAACACATTCTCTCTGTAAACCCCACCTACAACACAGTGTCTTACATTCAGGAGGGAATCCCCAATTCCCAGCTTCTGCCTGAGGACTGAAAACTTTAAACCATGCATGTAGCTTCTCAGTTTTTATGGCTTCCACCCAAGGGACTGGTCCCCAAATCTTCTAGCTCTGGGTCTGACAGGATGGCTCAGCACAAAGCAAGTAGGCCAACATACCCAGCTCCCAGTTTCTTGCCAGGAGGGGCTAGACTACATATCTAACATCCCAACAAAAGTTGAACTTCAAATTAATCTGCATCTGGGAACTAATGGGGCAAGAAATTAGTACTCTTCCAGGAACCTGAATGAGCTTGTGGGCACTTCCTCTGCTTGATGGGATTTGATACACCCTAATCTCCCAGGGTCACTAACATAAGCAATGGTTTTGACAAGCACAAAGTTTTAAGAGGTATGGAGAACCCCTGGCCAGATGATTTCTTCTCCTATGTGAGGCCAACTTATCTAGGCAGGGTAAGTTGGCTTTTTTATTTAATTAATTTATTTAATGCAATATAGAGAGGAAAAAGGAAGAGACAGTGAAATATATTATAAACAAAAGAGCAAGGTAAATATCCAGAAAAGACCATAATGAGATAGGTGATTTATCTGCTAGAGAGTTCAAAGCAGTGATTTTAAGTATGCTAACCAAGTTCAGGAGATCAAAGCATGATCTAAATGAGAATTTCAATAAAGAGAAGCATAAAAGTATCAAAAATCATATATCTGAAGAATCTAACAACTAAACTGAAAAATTCAATAGAGGAATTCAGCAGTGGACTACATCAAGCAGAAGAAAGGGTAAGATTTCAAAGACAAGTCAGTGGAAATCCTCTGATCAGAGAAAAAGGAAAAGAAATGAAAAAAGTGAAGATAGCATAAGAAACATAAGGGACACTATCAGGAGGACCAATATATGCGTTACGGAAGCTTAAGAAGGAAGAAAGAGAAAGGAGCAGAAAACTTATTCAAAATAAGATAGATAAAAACTGCAAAACTGGGGAAGGTCATAGGCATCAGATCTAGAAGACCAAAGCATTAAAATAAAAATGTACATCCAAAGAAACCCACACCAAGACACATAATCAAATTATGAAAAGTTAAAGACAAAGAATTTTGCAAATGGCAAGAGGAAAGTGACTTGTTACATACAAGAGAACCCCCATTAATGTTCAGAAAATTGTTCAGCAGAAACAGGCTAGAAGTGAGTGGGATGATATAGTAAAAAAATAAATAAATAAATAAATAAACAAAACAAAGTGCTGAAAGACAAAAATTGCCAACAAAGAGTACTATACCCAGCAAATGTGTACTTCAGTATAGGGGAGATAAAGACTTTCTCAGACAAACAAAAGCTGAGGGAGTTTAACACCACTAGAACACTCTTACAAACAAACAAACAAACAAACAAAAACAGCAACAACAAAACAAAAACAAGACAAAACAAAAAAACTAAATGGAGTTCTTCAAGGTAAAAGAAAGGACAGAAAACAATATGAGAGCCTAACAAAATATGAATCTCATTGATAAAGATCAAAACCAGAAATGTTTTATTGTATTGGTGGTGGGTAAATTGCTTTTAATTATACTGTAAAAGTTAAAAAAAAAAATTTTAGGGGCGCCTGGCAGCTTAGTTGTTAGGCGTCTGCCTTTGGCTCAGGTTGTGTTCCCATGATCCTAGGATGGAGCCCGGCATTGGGCTCGCTGCTCAGCAGGAAGCCTGTTTCTCCCTCTCCCACTCCCCCTGCTTTTGTTCATGCTCTTACTGTGTCTTTCTCTGTCAAATAAATAAAATCTTAGAAAAATAGAAAAGAAAAAAGTATTTAAACAGCTATAACTAAGTTATGTTAATGGATATATAATACAAGACAGGTAGATATAAATTGTGACATAAATAGCATATAATGTGGAGGAAAAAGAGAAAAGCAGAGAATTCAAGTTGTTAAAAAGAGCTTAAAAGAGACTGTTATAAAACATTTCGTGTAAATGTTTTATAACAGTCTCTTTTGTAAGTCTCGTGTAAACGTTTGGTAACCACAAAGAAAATATCTAAGAAGTTACATTAAAGAAAGGAAAAGGAATTAACTCCTGTCAGTCAATCAGTCAATCAAAAAGCAACAACAGTGACACACAAAGGAATACAGCAAGAGAGAAAAAGAAGGACAGAAGAACTGTAAGACAAAAAACAGTTAACAAAATGGCAATGACAAATCCTTCTCTACCAGTAAGTCTCAACAGACTAAACTCCCCCCCCACCCCCACCCCCAAAAAACCCGGCTGAATGGATAAGATTCAACTGTGATCTTATTAATTCTTTCAAAGAACCAGCTTCTAGTTTCACTTATGGTTCTGCTGTTTTTCTGGTTTCTATTTCATTGATTTCTGCTCTAATCTTTATTATTTCTCCTCTCCTGCTTGGCTTAGGCTTTCTTTTCTTTTCTTTCTCCAGGTCCTTTAGGTGTAAGTTTACCTTGTGCATTTGGGATTTTTCTAATTTTTTCAGAGATGCTTGGATGGTTATGTATTTCCCTCTTAGGACTGCCTCATTCATATGTGGAACATAAGGAATAGTGCAGAGGACAATAGAGGAAGGGAGGGAAAACTGAATGGGACAAAAATAAGAGAGGGAGACAAACAATGTGAGACACTTGACTCCAGGAAACAAACTGAGGGTTGTAGAAAGGGAGGTGGGTGGGGTAATGGGGTAACTGGGTCATGGGAATTAAAGAGGGCATGTGATAGAATGAGCACTGGGTGTTATATTCAACTAATGAATCATTGAACATTATATCAAAAACTATACCTTGGCTAATTGAATTTAAATTTTAAAAAAAGAAAAAAAGAAAATGGAAAAAAAAAGATCCAACTATGATGTGTCTACAAAAAACTCTTTCAGATTCAAGGATACGCATTGACTGAAAATGAAGTTAAGGAAACATATTTCATACAATTGGTAAGCAAAAGAAAGCAGGAATGACTAGACTTATGTCAGACAAAGTAAACTAATTAAAACTGTCAGGAGACACTAATGATAAAAAGTGTCAATTCAATAGGAGGATATAATAATTGTAAATATATATGCACCCAACATCAGAACACCTACCTATATGAACAAATAACAGATCTGAAAAAAAGAAACCGATACAATAACAGGAAACCTCAATAATGGATAGAATACCCAGACAGAAAATCAGTAAGGAGTGAATTTAACCAGCATTATATATTAAAATGGACCTGACAAACAGAACTTTTAACCTAACAGCAAAAGAATATACATTCTTTTCAAGCACATGAGGAGTATGTTAGATGACTATCTGGATGACATGTCAAAACAAGTCTTAACAATTTAAAAAAGATACTGATATGGAAAACTTTATGTCAGTGCCCCTCCAAAATTGAATTATCATATGGTCTGGAAATTTTCCTTCTAGCTATATAAAATCCAAACAGACCAATAATGACTATGGAAATTGTAGTAATAATCAAACCTCCTCTAAGAAAGAAAAGCCCAGGACCAGATGATTTCAGTGGTGAATTCTACGAAATGTTTAAAGAATTAATGCCACTTCTTCTGAAAATCTTCCAAAAAATTTGAAGGTAACACTTTCAAACTCAGTTTACAAAGTCAAAATTATTCTCACACCAAAGCCCATATAAGGACACTACAATAAAAGGAAACCATAGGCCAGTATCACTGATGAATATAGATGCAAATATTCTCAACAAAATACTAGTAAACTGAATTCAGTAGTGCAATTCAAGCATTATGCACCAATATGAAGTGGGATTCATCCTTGAGATGCAAGGATAGTTCAACAAATAGAATCAATAAGTGTGATCTACTACATTAATAGAATAAAAGATTAAAATCACATGATCATTTCAAAACGTTCTAAGAGAGCATCTCATGATGAATGCAAAGTGATATTTCATTGTCGTTTTGATTTGCCTGTTTTCTTGCTTATTGGCCATTTGTTTATATTCTTTGAAGAAATGTCTATTCAACTCTGCTACCCATTTTTGAATCAGTTTGTTGTTTTTGTTGTTGACTTTTAGGTCTTCTCTATAAGTCCCAGGTATTAATCTCTTATGGGATATGAAATTTAGTTTCTTCAGGGCACCTGGGTGACTCAGTGGGTTAAGCCTCTGCCTTTGGTTCAGGTCATGATCTCAGGGTCCTGGGATCGAATCCCGCATCAGGCTCTCTGCTCAGTGGGGAGCCTGCTTCCCTCTCTCTCTCTCTCTGCCTATGTCTCTGCCTACTTGTGATCTCTCTCTCTGTGTCAAATAAATAAATAAAATCTTTTTAAAAAATTTAGTTTCTTCCTCCCATTCTGTGGGTTGCATTTTTACTTTGTTGATAGTCTTTTTTTGATGTACAACATTTTAAAATTTTCATGAAGTCCAATCTTTTCTTTTCCTTTGTTGTCATATTGAAGAAATCATTGCCAAATCCGATGTTGTGAAGCATTGGACCTTGCCTTTTTCCCCCCTTAGTCTGTTTAGCTAGAGGTTTGTCAATTTTTTGATCTTTTCAAAGAACCAACTTTTGGT